AAGCCTGAGATACACGATCGCCGAATCAGCTCCACTCCAGACAATTGTAGAAATCTATGCCCCCTAGTGAACCCCATACTGTACCATGGTTTAAATTTACATCAATAATTGTTTCCCGTGATTGTGACAATACGCTGACAGACACTCCTATGAGTACTCTTCCTACCTCTCACCTCCTTGTCTACTAGTAGTTGATGTCAATGCTTTGTATTTATATAGAATCATGCTGTGTAACTACCAATATATAGTTTATGCTGCTAGCGACAGAGCTACGAGGTTGTACAAGACATGGGCCAGGGTCCACATACAACAACCATTAGACCCTACCCTGCCTTGGAAGTTAGGATCATCTTCCATGTATGGATGTAACTACATACTCTCTTGTACGAAACTTGTAAAGTGGAAGAGCCACTGCGAACCAAGGCTTGTTCTTTCTTCCTGCTATTTTTATTTTGGGGTTGTCACGTAGTATCCCGGGCTGCACCTGGGTTATCCTCCAAGCAACAAGAACAAAGTTGTAAACGTCTCTAGGGATAGGCTTGTAGATGGGCGACATGTTAATCCAACTGGTGACGCTCGCATCTGCATCTGTACGTCTAGACTACTACTCTGTCCTCATGGTTCAGGCGACACTAGACACTTATAGCAGTTTTGGGGTGCGTTGGTAATTGTCGCTTTGATTTAGGTAGTGTTAACTATGGATCAATTTACTCATTGAAAAGATATCAGCACTATCTACCACGCAGGGTCATATACCACAAGTAGGCGCAGCAGCAATAAAACCCCTGACCCTACGGAATCTTACATTGTGCAATACAGGCATGTCTGTACAGAGTACAGACATACATCGAGGTGATTCCTACCTAGCTAAGGCACATTAGATACATACCCATGCGTCTGGTCGGTATTGTAATGTAATGTAAGGGTGAGATTTTTTAGTAAGGATGAGAACATCCTTACTAAAGTTTCCCGACACCAAGATGCTTATGATAATAGGTAAGAAGCTGAAACGATCTCGGAAAAGGGTTTCTTTGTCTTGTTGTCCTTTGTCTTTTTTTTTTTTTTTTTTTTTTAAACTCAATTCTTAATTCAAAAACTTCGTCTAATGTCGGCTGGACGGTAAGGGTCCAGGGGGATTTGCCACATCGTGAATGCGGACGGGAGATTTTGCGCCTTAGTCAGATCCACACCCTGCAATATGGAACTATCAGGTGTCTACTGCATTAGTATGCGAATACCGTTGCGGGATAGATTGGACGGTGTCATAGCCGACATTCAGCCAATACTGCCTCGCAGTCATCATTCCTAATCTCCTGTCCAGTTATCGCAGATTACGCAAGCAGATACGTTTCTAGAAAAAGCAATAGTGACCCAGAAAATCAAGGGTTGGCTCCAGACATTCTACTCGCGCCAGAAGCTGACGTGAATTGGCACCATAACTGCATAACTATGCATTGTATACATCCAGTGATGTTGTAGAGAATGGAAGGATGAGCGGTGAGCAGCAACAAGCGAGTTGCCACTGCCGTGACGTGTGGTTGAGACGGCATATTTCTGATGCGAATAGGGAATATATCACCCCTGGCAGAATCTGATAGATACACTGGTGGTTGTGGAATGTGATGCAGACATAATTGATGCATCCCGCCTGTGTTCTGCAACCTCGACCATGGACCTTAGGTTGATCTCTGTTGGGACTGTTGTGTCTTGATATGAATGGAAGACTCAAGGGACAGCAATTTCCCAACAGCGTCTTCGAGGCCAAAGATCATGAGTGGTCGAGGTCCGTAGGCTAGAACCTATGTTGATGTAGTGACTATACTGCATAGCGGTGTGCTGTAGTATGCGAGATCGCCGTTGGCCGTGTCAGCTCATCACTGGGTTGAAGTCGAGTGTCTCTAAGGTGTTTTTTTACCCCGCTCTTAATTCGTTTTTCTAATTATCTTCTCACAAAGAATGTATTCGTTGATCTATCTCGAGAAATGATCTCAGCACAAAGTTACCAGGTCAAGTTTAAAACCGACGGACCAATGCTTCGCGCTATCAACGCCAAGTCCTACAGCCCCATTATATGCAGGATAAGAGCGGCACATCCTAATGACTTTAACGCCGAAGGGATGATCCCGAGGGTATTTCCAGGAATTCACTCACATAAGGTGCAAATGCACGTTTACGAGACCCATGCGTACTATTCCTTCTAGCTTAATTGGTGGACTGACAGACGTAAGGGGTACTGGATGAAGTTTGCCACACTTCAGACGGGACTATTCTCCTTTCTAGGCGAGGGATTTGGCGACCTCTAATTGCAGATTGTCCAACTCGGAAGGATACAGGTAGGTAGAAACTAAATTGATTTCGATAGATAGATCAAGCTATGTATGAGTTATTGTATGCTAATTGCAAAATTACATGCAGGGACATACGAAGACGAGCTGTATACTAGTATATATACATACCTCCTATAGGCCAGCGGACCAATCGATAAGTTGATGCCTAGCTATGAAGATATCACAAGATATAGTGCGGTTAAGCAAGGTGCTAGTTTCAACTATGTGAACACTTAATATTGAGTCGGTATACAGACACCCTCCCCGGAAGCCGCGGAAGCCACAGCGATCTGCGCTCAGCCTCGCAGATTTTGCCACTGTGGCGTGGTAGATGTCCCAGCGTATCTGTGAGAGTGTGCAGAGAGTAGGTCGGCTGCCTGACCATTTCTACTAGAGTGCATTAGCCACAATTTGCCACAAAGCCTATTTTGGTAAAGAATAAACACTTTGTAGGTCAATGCTTGCTCCCTTGGTTGTCTCCTTGTCTCGGATTGACCCCCCAAGGATTACTTTCAGAATGTAAATGCCTCGCATCTTTTTACCTGGATAGTAAAGAGTGCCGACTTTTTCAGGCGGTGAAACAATTCCTGGTTCAGAAGCTTGCTTTGCTTTGTCCAAAGAACATACTACCGACCGACTTTCTTGTCTAGAGTTGTGGGTAGGTCCAATGACGTCTTATTTTCTCTCCCGAACATGACTCCACTGCTAATGCAGGGACCTCAATTAGGAACAAGTACGGTGCAAGTCGAGCCCTATGAGGGTGACAGTGAATAACCGTGGTAGGGGTTGCGATTGGGCTTCAGGAGTCCAAGATCATATACGGAACTCAAAGCAAGGAATAACAAACAAGTAAGCACTACGTAAAGTCCGAGTGGAGAAATTGGGATACGCTTAACATTAGACGGATGTTTGGGCATATGGCTTATTCCAAATTGGCCATCAGGATTTTCGTATTGGCCGAATCTAGCCGGCATAGGGCAAGGAGTAGGAGGTGTCAACTCAATAGTCCATATCTAATCATCTCTTTTAGGTCACACATATACCCACGGCGGCACCACGTCCTGGCAATGCCACAATGGTGATTGTCTCTCGTTCTTCTCCTTGAATTATAGTTATGTAAACGACAGTGTGGATAGTTAGTTATATTCTTGAGTAGACTAGCCAGCATTGGTAAGGCTATCATTAACCGGTCTAGTTCGAATCCCGATTCCCGATCTCGGCCTTTGAAGAACAAGTTCCCTTCCCGCGGTTCTCTCTCTTTCCATCTTCTTTCCTTTCTTTTTTCTCTGTTTTCATTTTCATTGTCATTTCATTTTCTCTAAGGAAAAATTGCCCTAACCATGTGTTTGGGCGACGTATGTTACTTCGGAAAGACTATGAAGAGGGCGACGGCACGTTACCTAACCTGATCTATATCATCATTGACACATGGCCCTGACGATCCCTGATTCTTTCGCACCCTCTTGCTGCATCTTTGTTGTTCTCAGCGGAGGACTAATCACAAATAACCAGAATGAGACTCGTAATTTTCGTCTTATTCTGAGCCGGGAACATGGATTCCTGGCCGATTGTACCGATAGTGAGCGGGCTGAAGCCATTGTGCATGAGAATATCTCCGTGTCAGGAGGTCGTTCGAAGACCCACTCTCTTTGAGATCCCTGGTCACCAAGACCTCTGTTCATCTAGACCATGTGGAAATCTGCAGATCCGTGACGGTGATCTTGTTCTGATATCTTGGCGTCGAATGTCTGTCATATCCAACTGTAGCCACAAAACCCAATAATTCCTTCAAAACAACTGTCAGAAAAAAGTATAACTCGGTGTGAATCTCAACTCCGACAGACTAGTGACCATCCCGTCTCCATTTGCGCTTGTCTTTCTTTTTCTTCTTTTTTATTATGGAGAAGAATTGCCTACGTATTATTGTCCCCCTCCCCACCGCCAAACAAAGCAGCGAAAAGGGCGCCCAAACTCAACAGCCTCGCCGATCAGTCCTCAGGTTGATTTTCCCTTCGGCCGAAAGTGCGCCACATGACAATAGTCCCACCAGGATCATGGAACCCCGAAGTTTTATTTCGATTGACGATACCTTGAAATGTGCATACGGATAGCGTCGCGGGTCTCTACCATGGCCCTCCCACAATATGCAAGGGCTATCACTGCGCGCTGAAACCTATGGGGAATTCTGTAGCCACCCCATCAATCGGCACCCTGGACTCTGCCGGTTTATGCGCTTCGGAATCAGGGTCTACCCCTTTCGTGCGGCAAATCTGATATGGATACAGCGCATCCATGTCGTCGCGATGGCGGGAGAGTCTGCATGCTGGAGCTCCCTAGGGAGCTGCCGTTACCGACGCTGTACAGGTATGATGTTGGTGAATTTCCTCCTATACAATCTTCCTCGTTTTTCGGACGTGTTTAGTGTTAATGCCTCGTTACTTTACAGACGTCCGTAATCTTTGTTTTGAGCATTCGGAGGCTCTAAGTTGAAATGCCTTGTTTCTCTCAAAATTACCTACAATGCCCTTGCACCAGCCGGGAGTATGTCGTTGGGGGTCAAAGGAACATCCACCATTTCAGACGGTGCTTTTGCCTAAGACATGTTTTACTCAATCATCGCCGTCTAATTTGCAACAACACTGCGAATATGGTGGCCGGTGCACTGTGGTCACTGATCACAACTCCATATCAACTCCATGGTTATTCTAATGTGTCTCTTGAATGCCTGAGCCCTAAAAGAGGAGAGCACATAGTTTCTCCTTAGCATCTACCAACTTGAGCGATTGATCGCATTGCGACACAGGCAAGCCTTTTCGTTCTTGGTTAACTATGTACAGATCAAAAGGTTCATATACATCATTCACCCATGTAAACCATCTCGTTCGGTAAGTCTATTGAAGGTTCTTTCCAAAGAAATCAACCAGCTTAGGGCCAGACTCATTCAGATCATCATAGATGTCGAAGTGGTTCTTGCCCTTCACAACGAACAACTCCTTGGGTTCCTTCGCAGTCTCGACTGCCGTCTTACTGTAGTGAAGCGTCTGCGCCTCACTACCGGCAATCATCAATAGCGGTCTGGGCGAGATGAGGTGCTGGAAGTTGAACGAGTCATAGGGAACCATAAGATCATAGCTGACGGGGGGCACCTTCTGAGTCGAGCGCTCATGCTTTCCCCTGCTCGTTCCATAGTACGCGGCAGCGTCCTTGAAGAACGAATCCGCATCGTCCGCCACATTCGTGGCATCGAACATGGCAGGGGCCTCGCTGGGAGCACCGCTGGCGACGGTGGTCCGCCACTGGCCGGCAAACTGAAGGGCACCGGCGATAGCCTGGGCATTCTCCTTGTTGTGCTCATGCACACCTCCGTTGCGTGTCATGCGACCGACGCAGGCCGCGCTGACGGTAGCCAGCGCGCGGATACGAGCGTCCGACTGAGCGGCGTAGGACGCGTAGCCGCCCGAGGCGCAGATGCCCAGCACTCCGATCCGCGATGCGTCCACCTGATCCTTCAGTGTTGTCAGGTAGCTGACGGCTGCCTTGATGTCTTCGACACGCTGGTGGGGGTCTTCGAGGCCGCGGGGCTCGCCGGTGCTTTCGCCTTGGTAGCCGGCGTCGAAGGTGAGGGCGTAGAAGCCGGCCTTCGCCAGGGCCTTCGCGTAGTCGGTCGAGGTTTGCTCTTTCACACCGGTCATCGGGTGGCTAACTACCACGGCGGCGCCTTTGCGGTCTGGGGCACCGTCCACCGGCGTGTGGAGCTCACCGGCAATCTTCAGGTGGAAAGAAGGGAAGAGGACCTGCGTAGGGGAAGACATGGTGTTGGAGATCGGCGATTGAATCGGATAAATGTGACTTTGGAATTAGTCTCCAGACAAAGATTTCTGAGATCTGTAACAATGAAGCTGCTGTTGAATGAAAGTGTCTTCTTCGTACATCGTGTTTTGGGCATTTATAAGAATCGTTCAATTCGAACCACACGAAGCACGAAAACCCAATATACAATCATGACGTAACCAAAGTCCGATATATTTCGGCGGAACCTAAACTATTTCGGGCGAAGGAAGTTCTTCTCGGCCTTGCCTTGGCCCTTGTCATTGGCTCGCTGGGTCATGAGAATAGAGTTGGAGCATGATTTAGCGTCTTCTTGGTCCGATGTAGTGGATTTAGGCCGAAATTTGGAGATGATCGGCATGCCGTCGGCCGAAGGAGTTAAAAGGCTGTTGATTATCTCCTGATGAGGGTAATCGCCCCCTCCGGAGTTTGAGCGGATATAGGGGTGTGTTCAAAGGCAGTAGGGGAGGATGGTAAGGATTTAAGAAGGATTCATAATCAAATAGCGTTTGTCGCTGACGGATGGCGTATAGATGTATGAAGTGTTTCTCCGAAAGCTCCACATTTGGTAGAGTAACCATCGGGTTTATCGTAAATAGCTTTTTGTGGATTAGCAATGATGGCAATTTAGTCAGGACAACTTGGGTCTTGGTTAATAGTCTAGACGAGAGGTATTGGGATATAAATTGAGCTTGTGTGGCTGGGATAGATGACCAGTTAATCAACATAACATTCTCCATGACAAGCATTGAACTTCCATTCTAAAATATATATTCAACAATGTCCTCTACACAATCAAGATATGCAAAAGCCCATGAGTCCCTCCAGGGACCTGGCGATGCACGACCTACCGCATTACAAATCGTCCAGGATGAAAACCGAATAAACGATCTCACCGGCAAGGTGATCATGATCACAGGCTGTTCATCCGGGCTCGGTATCGAGACCGCCAAGGCCCTCTTCCACACAGGCGCGACGCTATACCTGACGGCCCGAGACCTAGGAAAGGCCAAGACCGCATTGAGTGAGATCGTTGATAGTCCGCGGGTCCATCTTCTCCACCTAGATCTGAATTCCTTGGCATCTGTCCGCGCCTGCGCTGAAGAATTCACATCTAGAGAGAGTACTCTGAACATCCTGATCGAGAACGCCGGCGTGATGGCATGCCCCGAGGGTCGGACGGCGGATGGGTTCGAAACGCAGTTCGGCACAAACCACCTGGCTCATTTCCTGCTCTTTTACCTGCTGAAGCCACTCTTGCTCTCTTCATCAACCGCTGGTTTCCAGTCCCGAGTGGTCGTGGTCGCTTCCAGCGCTCACCGGGTTTCGTCGGTTCATTTCGATAACATCACTTTAGAAGGTGAATACGAACCATGGAAAGCATACGGTCAAAGCAAGACAGCAAACATCTGGACGGCTAATGAGATTGAGAGACGCTATGGCTCAAAGGGTCTTCATGCTTTTAGTCTGCACCCTGGTGCGATCGCCACCGAGCTCCTTCGTCATGTCTCGGATGAACAGAAATCCACGTGGGATGGCGATGAATGGCTGAAGAAGTATTGGAAGAGTCCTGAGCAGGGAGCCGCGACTAGCGTCTGGGGTGCCGTAGCGAGGGAGCTGGAAGGCACCGGAGGAGCATATCTGGACAACTGTCAAATCGCATCACCTGCTGACCCAACCAAGCGACATGGACCAGGCTATGCTCAGTGGGCGTACAACCCCGATGGTGAAGCAAAACTTTGGGCGAAAACTTTGGAATTACTTGAGTTAAAGGACGAGTAAGGCTGTGATGTTATTCATTAGACCAATTCTCAATTTTGTACAGAAGATGCTGCAAAATGGGTAGGTAATCTCTAGGAGATTAACGGACTGGTTGAAATAAAAACAAAGGGTTAGCACCGAACCTAATTCTAGTAACAAGCAATGTGAAAGCGCCCAATAAAAAAAAGCCTGACAGTGTAGTGAGGCGACTTGTATTACTGTGCTGAGGTGGTCACACATCAATCGTCTTGGCTGTGTATAAAGTCATCAAATGCATACGTAGTGCTGTAAACAACAGGACCGCTATCAATGAGGGGGTGGAACGGACGCCGTTATCGGAGCGGTTATCAGGCTTGATTTATGACGGAGAGACTTCGCATAATCATCAATTGCCAGCAAATCTATTCGTGGATTCAGCATTCCTGATCGCTCCCCCAAACCATAATTGAGATGCATTAGCCGAGAGCTTGGCTGACGATCTTCCACTAAGAGGGCAGGTGTGGGTACACAGCCGGGGTTGAAAGTACGATGCGCTCGTGTTATCACGCCCGGGGTAGACATGAGGTAATGATATTACTGAATATGATATGCGAGGGAGACGTACTCCTGCACTACTAGTAGACTCATGAATCATCGAGTCAGGACGGGCTCGGGATCACCCGCCAGCTACTCCGCATTCACTCAGAAGCCCTTCTCGGGGTACGGATGGTTGCTTCAGACAACGAAACAATGCCAACATGCCGTTCAAAGTTCGAACCACGTCTTCAACCGGGTTCATTCTATACCGGGTGGCAGAACTACCCCCAGATTCTAGATACCATATCGTAGACTTATTGAAACGATGCGCTTCTAGGATATCCTCGCCCAACCCTGAATTAACAATTACCCCATGGAGTTTTGGCTAAATCGCAAAGTAGCCTTCATTTGAATCGGCCGACATTGCAACCCTGAAGTTGTATTGGTCGAGCCCGATCCGGATTTCCGTATCCGGTATGGAGGCGGAGGGCGGCGCTCCGTGCCGAGAAAAGTGCAGTCGGGCAAAGCAGGCTGTTGACAACACAACCCGGAAGAATTATGAAAGCGTAGTAGACAGATACGTAGTAAACCATCTATCTCCCTTTGCCGTGAGGAAACCCCGTCTTTGTTGGACGGGGTCGGAGGGTCGCATGACTCTCACCCCACGTTAAACTGAATTGGAGCGTGCGGTGTAGCACGTCCCGCCTTTAGCGAGAGGAAATGCGACTTTAATTCATCCTTTTTTCGGAGGAATCTCCATCATATCAAAGTTGAAACAGGAAGGGACCGGTTTGTAGTCCATGCGCCCCCCGACCAATTGGTCTGAGCGCTGAGGGGGAGGAAGTGAATGTGGTCAGATACTGCAACCGGTTAGTACTAGTGACTGATAATACTGATAAGGTAGTGAGTAAAATGATCAGATAAGAGATTCGATGGAGGAGCTTGTGGGGCCTCAGGAACGCCGCTCGAATGAGGAATAGCGGGATTCACGTGAGCCGGCACATTGAATCGGGAGAGGATTGGCCGGTCTTGGCAATGAACATAGGACAGTACACAGTACAATGTACCGACCGAGAGGTCAACCATGAGGATTCCAGACGTTCACGGTCCTAGGGGAATAGAGTATGCTAACATGGTCTCGATGCCCGACGTCTTCTCCCGATATGGTTCCATAAAAGAATCATCTAAAAAATTTCGAGCCACGAGGATTTCCCGGAACCAAAAGCGGACTGGCGGGGGGCGGGTTTCCGCCGATAGATAACGGGCAGATTATGATGACCTTAAAGTATCGAATAACACACCCGAAGTTCGGACGTTAACCAGTGCAGTGGTGCCGGCCTTCCGCTTAGCCGCCTAGTCCCCTACCTTAATTCATTCAACGAATCATCGACTCGAACGGCCCACCTCCACTCCTACTGTCCTCCCCCGTCGGCCATTCCCACCCTCTTTCTCGTCCGACTCCGGCTCAGTGCTCGCCGCCCTCCGCTGTCATCTGTCCGGACATAAATTCCCTTCCATTTCTCGCCTCAAGTCTCTTCTCTTTCTTCTTCACTGCTCCAGACATCTCTCTCTCTCTCTTATTAAACATCCTTGAATCGTCTTGACTTCGGTCAATTGACACTTTTTGCCACCGGCTTCTTATCGATACTTGATAAGCCCCTCACCTTCACCTTTTACACATTTTCTCAAAAGAGACCCAAAGCAAATTCAAGATGTCCAACCTTCCCATTGAGCCCGAGTTCGAGCAGGCCTACAAGGGTATGTAATTTGAACTTTATCCTTCGTTGATCTTTTTATATCTATATATATAGATCTTTGTCGGATTGTGTCTAACAAAATTTTCCAGAGCTTGCCTCGACCCTTGAGAACTCCACTCTTTTCCAGAAGAACCCTGAGTACCGCAAGGCGCTCGCCGTTGTCTCCGTTCCCGAGCGTGTCATCCAGTTCCGTGTCGTCTGGGAAGATGACAACCACCAGGTTCAGGTGAACCGTGGTTTCCGTGTTCAGTTCAACTCCGCTCTCGGTCCCTACAAGGGTGGTCTTCGTTTCCACCCCTCCGTCAACCTTTCTATCCTCAAGTTCTTGGGTTTCGAGCAGATCTTCAAGAATGCTCTGACCGGTCTGAACATGGGTGGTGGTAAGGGAGGTTCCGACTTCGACCCCAAGGGCAAGTCCGACAACGAAATCCGCCGCTTCTGTGTTGCCTTCATGACCGAGCTCTGCAAGCACATCGGTGCCGACACTGACGTCCCCGCTGGTGACATCGGTGTCACCGGCCGTGAGGTCGGTTTCCTCTTCGGCCAGTACCGCAAGATCCGCAACCAGTGGGAGGGTGTCCTCACCGGTAAGGGTGGCAGCTGGGGTGGTTCTCTGATCCGTCCCGAGGCCACTGGCTACGGTGTTGTCTACTACGTTGAGCACATGATCAAGCACGCTACCGACGGCAAGGAGTCTTTCGCCGGCAAGCGCGTCGCCATCTCTGGTTCCGGTAACGTCGCCCAGTACGCCGCTCTCAAGGTCATTGAGCTCGGCGGTTCCGTCGTCTCTCTCTCCGACAGCAAGGGTTCCCTGATTGTCAACGGTGAGGGTAGCTTCACCGCCGAGGAGATCAACACCATCGCCCAGATCAAGGTCGACCGCAAGCAGATCTCCGAGATTGCCAACACTGAGGCCTTTGCTTCCAAGTTCAAGTACATCCCTGGTGCCCGTCCTTGGACCCACGTCGGCAAGGTCGACATCGCTCTCCCCTCCGCTACCCAGAACGAAGTCTCCGGCGAGGAGGCCCAGGCCCTCATCGACGCTGGCTGCAAGTTCATCGCCGAAGGTTCCAACATGGGCTCCACCCAGGACGCCATCGACATCTTCGAGGCCCACCGTGAGGCCAACAAGGGTGCTGCCGCCATCTGGTACGCTCCCGGTAAGGCTGCCAACGCCGGTGGTGTCGCCGTTTCCGGTCTCGAGATGGCCCAGAACTCTGCTCGCATCAACTGGACCTCCGAGGAGGTCGATGCCCGCCTCAAGGGTATCATGGAGGACTGCTTCAAGAACGGTCTCGAGACTGCTATCGAGTACGCTACTCCTGCTGAGGGCGTCCTTCCTTCCCTCGTCACCGGTAGCAACATTGCTGGCTTCACCAAGGTTGCTGCTGCCATGAAGGACCAGGGTGACTGGTGGTAAACATTCTGCGAATGTTTTTTTCCCCTAAGTCAGCCTTTTTTGATTCACGCTTCCATTGATACCTCTTGTTTATGATGATGATTTTGGTTCTTTTGCCTGTTTAAGCGCGGTTGGTCGATAGAGGCGCCGGTGTTCTTGCCTTTTTTTACCCATTATGATTCTAGACATGGTTTCATGCCTTGCACATAATCATGATTTATGAATAAATATTATTATACTCAAAATCTTTCCTATCCGATTCTCGTATGAAAGTATCACAATTGTTCAGTCTTGTAGTCTTCCCTAGGGTAATGGTACTACACTGCACCTTAACTCTTTGTACAAATAAATCTTTCATTAACAGAATTAAGGCCGTTTTACTCAATACTTCTTAAACCAATCAAACACGATTAAACATCTCTTAATATATGTGTATTGCATTTGCTTATGATTAAGCTAGCAATATTGCATAAGATTCGATTAGGGTGGCTAGAACTTTTCTGGTGTGTCTGTTTTGTCCTAAAACGGGACCCGAACCAAGGTATACATGGCTTCTCTATAACTATATGTTGGAACTGGAGAAAAAGAACAAGACAAGAAAGAAAGAAAGAAAGAAAGAAAGAGTCCATCAATCAGGCCATATCCTCCTTCGCTGTTTGACTCGTCGCTTGGACAGGGGCCGCCGGCTTAGTGCGCTTTCTCATTCCAAGAAAAGAAAGGCCAAGAGCAACAGCCCACTCGGACCATAGAATTGGAAGGGCACGGTACAAGTGCGGGTTGCAGCCATCGGTCCAAATCTGAAGCAGAATCTCATAGAGTTCGTGGGCAGGGAACACATAGCCCAACCGGTAGAACCCTGGCGAGAGCTCAAAAGGGCCGATACTACTTGAGACATTGAGGATGATCCAGGTTAACATGAAGAAGGACATGAACTGCATCGGAATGAATGCCGTGGCTGCGTCGATGATGAGGAAGTTTAGGTGCATGACTAGCCAGATCGCCATCCATGTCAGCCCAAATTGATCGGACGTGGCGTTCCAATCCTCCCGGAAGGCCCATATGTAACCACTCATGCACAGGGAGGCGATGAAGGTATAGCAAATGGAGATAATCAGTCGGAGGGCGATGTTCTGCTTTAGTGATAGGCTGGAGAAGAGTTTGAACTGTGCGGAGATAGCATTAAGCGCCAGGAGAAAAAAGAATTGTTGCAGGATGGGCATGACCATGGAAACAGTATTGTAGTAGAATCGGACCCCTTGAGCCATCGGCCGGAGATCAATTGAGGAGCTTGAGATAGGGTTTAGCACAGTTTTGGCGATGTATGGGTCAGAGACATTGGCGGTGGATAATATCGTAGTTCCATTCACCTGGTCATACACGCCGGCAGTGCCCTGGACGAGCTGTACCAGCATCGAATACACGCTTTGGGCATAGGCGGAGTATTTAGCTCCATTCCAGATGTAGGTCAGTGCCTGAGAGTTATTATACTCCCTAGCAGCTTCTGCGGAAGAAAGTGCCGTGGCTAAACGGGCGGAAGCATTCGCTTTGGAATATATGGCACCCCAGTAGTGGCCTTTGCAAACAGCATTTCGCACGTCCTGCTCCGTGGGGTATTCGGTTATGGAATGTCGCTGAACGGTTGGAAATGACGGGCTTTTCAGTTGATCGTACGCTGTCATGACGGACTGGCCGATCACGTCCTGATCATAATCCACAAACAAAAGCTTCATCGTGCTGAATCGAATCGAGTCATGATAGGCGGTACCATACAAATAGCACATGTTCGCGAGAAACAGCAGCTGGAGAGAAATAAACGCTCCTGCTAGCGCGCCGAAAAATGATTTTGTCAGCTGCATGTTGCTAGCTGGAGGATTGGGATGTTGTCGATATGATTGATGATGATATTGGGTACTTCCAGTCAAACAGAAAGGCAAGAAGCCTTGGGTGAATAACGATTTAGTTCTTAAGATACAATGATATTGAGGTTAAAGAAGAAAAATGAAAGAAAAGCACCCACAGGACCAGGGGAATCCATAGAGGCCTTTCCCCCTAATATAAGCCATGGATTTGCCATCGATAGACCGACGTCCGACATCCGAGCGAATAATTCGCCGAGCTGTAGGTTATATCCTTATTTTGCGCCTCATTGGGTTCCCCTTTTCACCCCCCCAGCATGAGCCCAGGCCATGATTGCTGTTGGACCCATTGTGTTTAATCAACTGAGGATGTTTTCTTAGGGCAACCTCCCTGTCCGATTAGCTAATCGGAGCAAATTAGCTAAGCGGGTGGCATGAGCTAGTCGGACTTGCATGCTAATCGACCCAAGATCGTCTCGTTAGTGAAGCTACTGACGACGAGGAAAGGACCCATTGCTTGCCGGTAATCCGACGTCAGGCAAGGAGCCGGAATTGTATTGTATCGAGTTTTCAGTTAGCGAAGAAAAGAACGGAATACCAGGGCATACAATGGAGTAGAATATATGTCCCCTGACCTGCTAATACCTTTCAGCCATAGCGTGACCATGTCCTTCCTAGATTGAGCCATGGGCAATGTAATGCAAAAGTTCAAACGAGAAACCCTATCCTGAGACGATGATCATCGTCAATCGATCAGAGTGGAGAAGAAATTCATGCTCTATGCCTAGTCTTTGTCGCTTCCAGAAACTATAAATTTGCCTAAGATTCGTTTATGAGATGCCAAAGTTCTCGAGATTATCCTCTCAGGTCGCGAAGAAGGGTTGTATCTAAGTCTTCAAACCCTCTGTTTTTCCTTGATCATTCGATTGTGTGCTTAGAATCTTGGTATTGCGCATATCCACGATCAACATGCCCATCAAAGTAGTCGTTGTTGGCGCCGGTCTCGCTGGCCTGGGTGCTGCAATTTCGTTGAGCCGTGCAGGCCATGAGGTCCAGGTCTGATGATCCCTATCCTGCTGTGTATCCTACCCTGCGTTATCTTGGAAAGTGGGGTTGACTGATCCTGTTCGTAGGTTATTGAGCAGTCGGGTTTTCTGAACGAAGTTGGCGCTGCTATCCATGTGGCGCCCAATGCCACCCGAATTCTGAAGGTCTGGGGGTGTGATTTGGAAAGTTTACGCCCCGTTCACTGCAACAGATTACAAGTGTGGGATGCCTCTGGGAATCTCGTCTGGACCCCAATTGTGAGTTGCTGCTTGTATGTCTGTCTTCACTGGCTTAGCTATGAACTAACAAGAAGGCTAGGTGACAAAAGAGCGTCAGATAGCCCTAAATACGACGGATGAGTGGTTGTTGACCCATAGAGTTGATCTGCATAATGCCCTTCGCGCCGCAGCCACCAACGAGGTCAATGGCCGCAAAATCAACATCCGCCTCTCTTCGCGTGTATTATCAGTGGTACGTCATTACGCACCCATTATGGTCCTGGTTCTACCAGGTGGCCGCTCAGTGATCTCATATTTTTTGCCCACAGGATGCAGAGGCCGGCAAAGTAGTCCTCGAGGATGGTACCATATATGTCGCTGACCTAGTTGTTGGGGCTGACGGTATCCATGTATGTTGTCCTTCAGACATCATAACTTACACAACCTAGCTGTTACTAAATGTCTCCAATGTTGCCAGTCCCGCACCGTTCACGCCATCGTCGGAGAAAACCAAGGACGTCAGAGTACCGGCCAGAATTGCTTTCGTTTCTTGGTGCCCATGGAAAAGATACAGGCTAATCCACTAACTGCTGCGCTTATGGCAAAGACAGGTATTGATGGCGTGCATGCCTTCGCGGCGCATGACCGACGCATCGTGGTTTATCCCTGTCGGGGTGGCCAGCTGCTGAACGTGGCGGGCATCCACCCTGCGGGCAAAGAGACGAACGCCAGAGATTCATCGTGGCTTGATGGGGGCAGCTTGAGCCAGTTGATAGAGACCTATCAGGATTTTGGCGAAGAGCTTCAGGAGATGTGTCGTCTCGCGGAAGATCTGAAGCTGTGGAGCCTGGCTTCGCGCAGTCCAGCTCCCACGTTCGTCAGAGGCAAGGTGGCTTTGATTGGAGATGCCGCGCATCCCATGTTACCTCGTAAGTAACCCTTACAAGCTTGTAATTAGATTTTCCTCGCGCTCCACTTTTGCATACTGATCGAGTGCACCGCAGACCAAGGACAAGGCGCCGCTCAAGCATTCGAAGATGCGGCGGCGCTTGGTGGAGTGATGACGGAGGACATGACCATAGAACAAATCCCGCAACGTCTGGAATTATACAACAAGATCCGGTATAAGCACGCAGTGACCGTGATGATGATGTCTAAAACCCACGATGAGCGACGGGCGGAGATGTTGGACGAGCTCCGCTCCTATGTGGCTGACGCGGAGGTCCCTGAGGATATGTTCGCCTTCACTTGGCCGTCAGACCCAATTGGGGAAGCACGTCAACTGGTACAAGAAACCCAGATATAGACAGCGCGGCCCATGTTGTCTACAAGAATTGATCCCATGTGGATATATTAGACTGCCATGCTCATAAATCAGCCATGTACATTATCCATACAGACATTGTGCCAGAGATATTCGTGTTGTTAACAGGAAGTCATACAACAACTGAAGCTGTAGATATACCACGTCTTGCAATGCTGTCCACTCGTGTAGAACAATTTGCCAGAGCGTTCTTCGTCAAAGGCAGTCTCCGAACGGTCACGTTAGCTGCTCGGAGATGATTAGCTAAGCGGCTCTGTATCAATTCCGGTCCAACGCCATTGAAGCCTCTAGGATACTTTTCCTGCTTAATCCAATTTTTTTTTTTTTTTTTGGCAATTGTCTCAATATTAAATCCAATAAAATCAACCAACCAAGTAAATCCATTCGATATGTCCAAGGACCCAGTTCCCAGAAGGGTAACGGCCTGTGATGCGTGCTACAAACGAAAGGTACATCCATCCAATCTACACGATATACTTCTTAGCATCGGCAGCCACGGTTTACAACGGCCTCGAATCAGATCAAATGTGACCGCGTTGGCTCCCAATGTAACTGGTGCATCCACCACGATATGGACTGCACATTTTCGTCAGATTTGCGTTCGAAGAGACGACGTCAGGATGGAAGGTATAGATAGGCCCGTATCTTCTCAACCTCGTTCGATCTCCTTGACAATTCATCACGATAAACCTTAAAACTAATTCTGCAAAGTAGCCAAAGAATTAGCTTGATCGACCGCATTCGACGCATCGACGAGCGCAGGGCAGAAGCTGCAGCCATAGGTTTGTACTTTCTTGTCCCATCACCTTTTTCATTTCGTCTTATCCTTTCATACATTGGACCGCCTACTTACTTGCTAATGAAGAAAGACCACCCGAAAAACAGTCTGTCCAACTAGAGCAAGCATACCCGCTACTGCCGTCCCCCAGAATCATTCACTTTGCAGGTTGGAAGATTGGAAATATTGCTCCGCAGGTAGGAGTACCGAGTCTTCTTCCTGAGGGTCTTCGCTGGATTGAGTCAAGAACCGGCACTGTTATCCCTCTTCCAAACCTTTGCCATGCTCCATGGGAGAAGCCACCCCTATCTTCTACGCCCCCCGACCTAGATGGTGTCCATGAGGTCGTGTCAACACCTTCTGGGCTTCCCGCGCGGACGGTACTGAAGCGGTATCTGGACGTGTACACTTCATCGGCCATCCACGCAATCTTTCCTGTCATCAACTCATCACTCTTCTACCAGACGATACGTGCAGCCTATTCGCCGCCTAGCCACGATACAAAAGTCCATTCTCCTAGTTCAAGAGCATGCATATTTGCTTTTCTCGCGTTGATTTCTAGTTTAGATCATCTTGCCACTCGTTGTACAGCCCCTAAGCCGCCTCCTATCCCTCGAGACGAGTATGCCATGAAGGCCCAGGCTCTTTTGCCATCCTTGCTTCAAGAACCGCTCAACTTAGATGCATTGCAGACAACTCTTCTACTGGTACGGTCATCCATTCTATTTTACTCTCTCATCTTTCAAAGAGGAAGCTTCAAACTTCAAACTAGGAACCTGCGCTAATCCATTCATCTTGATCGACCCCCAGTCAATATTAGGGATACTCACCGGTGAATTGCAAACAGCAACAAACTATAATTCGATCTCATCACGTTTCATCATCGCTCTGGGAGCTCACACAATGGGAGATCCAGGCGCGATGCCGGAACCTGCCGTCAGTGGTTCCAGAGACAAAGAGACTAGAAAACACCTTCGCGACCTTTTCTGGCTCTGTTATGCCCTTGACAAGGACCTTTCGTTGCGTACTGGGCAGAGCCACTGCCTTAGGGATGAAGATTGTGATCTTCAACTACCACCCGGTTATGCTGAGAAACTGCAGTCTGGGATGACATATTCTGCGATGGAAAATGCACATGGCCTTCTGTTTCCAATCGATCTACGGCTCAGCATGGTCAAGTCCCGAATTTTCACCGCTCTCTATTCCCACCGTGGACTACAGAAAAACGACGCTGAAGTCATCCGATCAATTCGGGAACTAGACGAAGAGCTAGAACTCTGGAGAATGTCCATGCCCTCAAATCTAAGACCTAGACTATCATTCGCAAAAGAAACCTCCGAAGATCAGCGAGTTGACACCATGTATCTCGTGCTGACACATCTCAACTACTACTTCTGCGTTAACATAATCCACCTGGCCGGAAGTCGATGCGAAGCGTGGCGTTCGACTTCCACACCGGCAGGGATGATGGACGGACTACGCTTAAGCCTGACTTTATCCGTGGAAGCCAGTCGGTCCCTTTTACTATTTCTGCATTATTCCGAATCGCTCGTGAGTGTAGGGAGCTTTTGGTAAGAGACTTACATGTACAGAATTTGGCTTTCGTCCTTATTTTACCAACTACACACAGCATTCTTCTAACCTTCTATTGGCTGTCTAGGACACTCCTTTTCTATCCCATGTCAGCGATGCTCACGATATTCTGCAACCTGCTGGAGAATCCACGTTCTGAGAGCGCGGCGAGTGATACGCAACTCCTGACAGTAACAGAGCACACAACTGAACGGGTCTTCCTGAGACAAATTTCTCGAGCTGATAAAGCTGCCCATCTGCAAGCTATCACCGGATTTATCTCTAGTCTTCGAGATCTTGCCCAGCAGGCGGTTCGCCAAGCAACCAAGGAAACGAGACCATCCTGAAGCGTTTTTGATGTGTCTCGAGAATGGTCTGGATGAGCATTAGTTACGTGAAGAACATGCCGCGCGATATTATACGATCTAATACGTAATAAACTTAACTAGAGTATCCATTAATTCACATATTCATATTTAAAAGCTCTAGGGTCACGTAACTCTTTATATACACGAGAGTTCTTTGCCCGTCCATTGTTGCTCCCACTGTATGATATATACTTCATCTGTTGGAACCCCATTCATGGAGGAATCTATAGCATTACTCAGAGACTTTGGCCATATACAACTATCGAAGTATTACTCCACATGCCGGCCCAGTCAACCGGTACATGCATTGGTCCAGCTCAAGAGGTATCCTACATAAGAATACCCCGAGCTTTCTTTTCCCTCAACACCTCGCTGTACTAAGAAAACAAGAGCAAACTATAACCGTCAGTTAAATGATAACATCGCAAAATAGGGTATCATAAAAGAAGAAACACAAAGAAAAAAAAAACAGTCGAGAGCGAGATTGGCATTACGATTCGGGCCAGGGGGCCAAGTCATGTTGAAGGCCGCCGTGGGTAGCTGAACGGCGTCGCCCATTATTAGCCAGATCGGGCTGAGATGACGATTGGTCAGAAAGGGTGACCGCAGGCAGCAGGTCCGACAGGACGCTTCGCCGTCGTGAATAGACTCCGCCCACAGAAGGGTTTTCCTTCTCGCGTTGGACAATATTGGGTCTAGAGCGGTGGCGACGTGGGCGGCGGAGGTGTTCGTTTGGTACTGGGTCAACCTGCTTCTTTGCAGCAGGTACTAGGTTCAAATACACTGGAAAGATGGCACCAGCGCAGAAGACAGCAACGAGGACACTGTACGAGAATGACATGCCCCCAGCGAGGCTGGCTGCATGTTGTGCGAACGGAAAGCAGGCACCTCCGCTGATCGCCGTCGTCAGAAGCGTTGCAGCGGTCTTTGTGTGTTGGCCTGTGCCGCGGAGAGAGATGGCGAATATAATGCTAAATGCACCACTTTCAAAAAGGTAGACCATGAGAGCCATGGTAACCGCCGCAATTCCCGTCGTTTTCATGCATAGTATGGAGAATACTATCATTCCAATATACGATATAAGCAGAATCCACCGTGGCTTTAAGAACCATTGCAGAAAGGCGGCAAGGAAACGACCAACCGCAAAGATAGAATGGGCGATGGTCAGATAATCAAAGGAACTAAGGCGTGAACTGTACTTCAATAAGTAAACGTCCAGGAATATCGAAGTGAACTGTCAACTTACTTGGGGTAAGCATCTTCGACGAAAACAGTGAAGCTTTGCGAGATTATTTCCTGTCCGGCGACGTAGAAGAATTGTGAAAACACCCCAAGTCCTAGGGTCAACCAGACCACCGGAATCCCGGCGACTAGAGTCATGTTGTCGCTCCGACGCCGGTTTGCTAGCTCCTGAAGATCCTCATCTGACGCCTCTGGGATTGGTAGGTAATAAAAAGCCACAGCCAGAAGCACGTCAAACAACGCAATGCCAAGATACGTCCATTGAACATCAACCAGAGAAGAAACGTCGGTTACCTTTTTGAAAAGGACCTTCTTCGCTAACAGCGGCGAAACTACGCTTCCTACCGCTTGGACGCCCTGCGAGATATTCAATCGGATCTCCGAATTCTCTAGGGGCCCACACAGCGCTATGAATGGGTTGGCAGCGGTTTCCAATACTGCCAATCCAAAGCCGACGATGAAGTTAGAGACGAGGAAGGCAGAATACGAAGTCAGGACAGCCGAGGGCCAAAATATCAAAGTGCCGCAACCGTAAATACACAGGCCTGTGATGAAAGTCGATTTGAACCCCCAATGTTTCAGCACCGTGCGGCCCACCAGCGGTGGGCCTATGAAATACCCCCCGAAGTAAACAGCGTTCAGGCCCAACGATCGCCAGGCATCTAAACGAACAATATCCTGGAACTGACTGTTGAGAATATCCAGCAACCCGTAAGCGAATCCCCACAAGAAAAACAAGATCGTGGTTAGGGAGATCGGCGCGATGGATTCCTTATTGCTTAGCTTCAGCATATTCGCCGGCTTCTTCATGTTGACAAAGTCGAAAAAGGTGATACTAGGCAGGTACGAGGTGGTGACGGTTGTATTCGCTTCCGCATCTTGAGGCGGGTCACTGGCCATCAGGAACTCTCTGAGATCTACTGAACCGTCCGCTTCTCTCCGACTGGCACTGCTGCCACTGGCTGAGGGAGAGGTTTTATTGTGGTTAGCGGACTGCGAGCGTCGTCGCATGTTGGGACCTGGGAGAGTTGGAAGTGGCGCAGGCTCAGCAACATCTGGAATATCCGGAATATCCAGGGGCCCAACCGTGGGGGCATCTGGCACGGTCGTGCTATCGTCCGTGTCCCGAATCATCTTTGGGATGATTCGCGCTACAAGAGGCTTGAGACTAGGCACACAGGCGCACATGACGGACACGTTGACCTCAACCACCGACCACATGAACGAAAGAGAAGCATACCCTTGTCAGGTCAGTATGGGACGTTCAATAGCTGGTTGGGGGATAAAGCCATGTCACACATACAATTTAGGTCGTCACCGCTAGCGTCCTGCAGGTGGATCTCTCTCAGTAACATTTGGCGCGATGTAGCAGCATTTTGAAGGTAGGCAATGCGGATAACATCAACTACTGCAACGAAGAAACCAAAACTAAAAGTGATGACAAGAATGATTTTCTGTTTCCGCGGAAGACGCATTTGAGTTAAGATGGGGTTCGGCAAGAAGAGAATGGCTAGGTCGGTAATGATGTTCACCGGAGAGGAAGAAAGGTATAGAGTGAGGATATCGGTACAGTGCGCATTCGGAGCCAGGGGATAGGAAAAGGCCGCCCCAACGGGACGACATTGGAAGACGTTGACCAGTGTGAGCGCCAATCCGGCGGCATTTACGACGAAAAGAGTCACATAATTTGCGCAACGAAACACCCTTTCCCCTTGGGTTAGAGTGAGGTAGAAGACGAGGATGGAGGTTTTGACCGCCATCAACGCGGGGTTCTATTCAATCAGCAATCGGAGCCAACCGGACCTGAGCTGACAACTCACATATAGCACAGTGAATGCATAATTGGCTCGATTGAGGCTGTACCGGTCACTAAGCGCTATGTCGTCATCATGGAGGCCCAGGCCTTTTCTCGTGGCATAGAAGAGGGAGAATGAGAAGCCAAAATCGATGACCTGTGTAACGTCAGTCATTGTTTTCACCGTTCATCTGTTCTTTTTCCCCACGCGCCGACGCTCGAACTCCAACATTCATATGCAACCGACGGGCGAGACGCCAGACATACCCATGCCAACAGCATCAAATAGTCATGTAGTCCGACTCTCTTAACAATGAAAACCCGCGAGACGAAGCGCAGTGCTACAAAGACAGAGGCGATGACGAAGAAGACAATGGAGACGGCCAGCACTTCCGGTCTGCGGTCCTCCATGGTGAGCGACCGCGACCACAGCTCACGAAGCTTCGTGTGAACTCCGGAGATCGCAGAGTAACAACCCAAGACCGTTTCACGACCATTCAGAACCTATCGCAAGAGAATTTGACAGAGAGGTAAGCGTTAGTTCTCGAGGTTGAAACAGCTCCATGGTCACCGAATGCGGAGGAATCGAGAAAAGAAAGACGGCATCCCCGATGACGAAAAAATTGACCGAGTACAAACTAAGAGCGTTGTGTGTGTGACACGCAGACTGGGAAGCTTGTTGGAGGGGCGGAGGCTGGAAAGACTGGATGAGTCGCTATTGAACTTGGCAAGAATAATTAATAGAGGTCAATTTACCCGAGAAAATCCGCCCAAAGAAGGGTCTATCGAGCAGTCGTAAGACAGCGAGAATTTGCAAGAGACAACGTCAGAGAAGGAGGAAGAAAGTTGATGAGGAGAAAGCGGAGAAAAGAAATTGTGTGGTTCGGCGTGGGTCTTGTTCACCCAAGGGATGAGATCCTGCGTATTTTTATTTGTCTTCAATAGTTTACAGCCTCCTCACGAAGGTGACGATGAGTGGAATTCCAAATCGCCAAGGATCTTTTGAGAAACTTGGACTGGTAAGCTGAAGTTCTTCCTTATACTCTGTAGAGAGTCAAGGGAAGCAGCCGATGTTGCGCGGACAGTCAGCCACGTAAGAAAAGAAGGTACATCTTGTCCTTGTCGTTGGAAGGTACTGTGTTGGGTATGTTCTTGACTGCGGGAACTTTCCGTTCTGCTTCCGGTATCCTTTCCTTTCCTTTTTTTTTAACCTCATGTCAGCTCGTACCTCCTGACTCAGCCAACCTTTTTTTTTTTTTTTTTTTTTAATGTGATGTGATGATTTTCACGTGTTTTTTTTTTTGTAAAAAGGTACAACCCAGATAAAGCCGGTTTTTTTTTTTTTTTTTTTTTTTTGTTTAATTTATTTTCGCTTCATCCTTCGCATGCATGCAACCCAATCCGTAACAATGGGATTCTTATCGCTTCCGCCCCCAACCAGGATAAGAAATCACAACTAGAATGTGAGGACCTGTGAAAATGAGGCCAAAAATGACCGCTATTATAGTCATTTACTGCACTGCAAACCCCAAGACCTGCCTTCCTGTAATATCATATTCTGCACCCCTAGAGGCTAGCACTAATTTTTAAGGCAGTCAGAGCTAACTAACACCCTTTCGCCGAAGGCGATGAGGTGTTATTGAAGCTACCCAGCTATAACTCATAAGGCTTTCGGCACCTTGTCTAGGAAATCAGAAAACCAGTATTAGGGTCTTAGACATACAAAACCCTCCGACATGTCGGCCCTTAGTAGTATACTTGCTCGACTTCCCCGCAGAATGGTGTTTACATCCAGTTGTATCCGTCGCGCACCCCGAGAAGCACCTCTTTATCTTGCTCTCACTTCACCTGTCACCTCGTCTCACTTCATTCATCTACTGCTTCACTTCATATTTGTTTATTAGATAAGTATTATATCACTATAGTAAATTTCCAAAATCTACTGTATCTCTACTATAGCTTAATAATTACTTTTTACAGTATATATTTCTTAAAATAATAGAATAGTATATCAGTACTAGTAGTAGAACTAAGAAATTTTATGAAAACTACGTGTATTGGCACCGTGGTTCTACTATCCAGTTTTGGGATTACTGTTTTAGGAAAGACAAAGCTTCACTTAAAGATATTAATCACGTGTCTTAATCTAATAAATAGCAAGAAGGTTAAAATAAGATTTTCAATACTCTTTAACTTGTAAATTTATGTAGACCACTGAATTTATGTATACAAGCCCCAGGTTATCGGGGTTTGTGCAAATTTGTATTGGAAATTGTTGTGGCCACTGTGGCCCATACAAATTAACAGGGTATTGCAAGCAACGCAACTACAGCAGTGACAGATGTTTTCAGTGTAAGACGGATTTCCTATGCTAACACATATTATTCTATTGTCCTTATCACATGACAGATCACGATCACTCATGTGATAGTGACATAGGTACCAGATTTCTTGTTTCACACGGCAGCTGCTGTGAGTTAACAGCTTCCATCCCAGTTTCCCCTTTTGTAGTTTAATGTCCATTCAAGTAGCTCATTAACACGAGACTCATAAACATGGCTCCTCGGTATCCCAGAGCTATCACAGTTGCGACTATTCTCATCAGTCCAGCCGAAATGCCAACTATCTCGGTAGGCAAATGTGCATGGAGTTGCGGCCTAACCATTTGCACCTGTACTGGGTTTAAAGCTCAAGTTCAAGAACCCCTCACAAGAAACCTTCCGAGTATTAAATGCCCTCGTTGTCATCATACCGTTTCGGATCATGGAAGGACAACATCTTTGGCCACTAGCCACGATGTCGGTCCAGCAAGTGTCGAGAAAACGGCAAACCACGAAGAGAAAGGTCAGATTCCGCCTAGATTATTTCATAGCGAAACTAATGATATATAATGGCAAACAGGGCACGAGCTTCCTTTTGTTAGTCATCGCACAGATACTGTAAAAAAACTCGCTGATCTCATTGACCGGGTGAATGTTGTTCATGTGCGGGGAACTCCAGCGAGCGGCAAAACGACGCTCGCCCGCCTCCTTCAGAAGTATTTTCTCGATCATAACGATTATAAAGATCGTAAGAGGGCCGTCTATTTCATCAGTGATTGGAGGAAGCTCGAGGAATACTCTACTAACGGCGATGGTGAAACATGGGCGAATTTGACCCAGATGATCCCCATCCGCTTTGGCCGTGCCCGGAATCTGTCTGAAGGAACTGTTATTCTAGTTGACGAAGCCCAAAAAACATACTCGGATTCGGGACTCTGGAATACAATAATCAAAGACCGAGTCTACGGCAATGGTGAAGACATCAAAGTCTGTCTTTTTTGCTCGTATGGCAGTCCGTCGACTGGGGTCGACAGGCAACCCAACGAGTATACTCCAGCCTTCTTGAACCCAGAACAGCGCGTCACGATTACCCCGCAACCATCATCACCACCAATTGGGCTTTTTTTCACAGCAGATGAGTTCAGAGACGCCGTGCAGCAAATTTGCGCAAATCCGAGGTTCGAGGCGGGTTTCACACTTGATAATGACGCCCAAGACTATCTGTTTTCCTTGACAAACGGCCACCCCGGTGGTGTCGAGTCGTTATTACGTTTCTTCCACCACGTGCGTTTTTCCACCCCTCCCCCAACTCCAGCTAAATTACGCCTCCACAGGCTCGATTAGCTGACTTTGTATTAGTATTACCGGGCCAGAATCAAGCACGACCCCGAAAGATGGCCACTCACGGACATCGATGTCGTTAACAGCTTGCGAGATGAGAACAATGTTTGGAAGTACCTAGAGTATACACCAATTTATCGCTCACTTGCAAGGGGTTCTGAATTGAGCAGTGAAGTCTCAAAGATTCTTCGTCATGTCCTAGAGCAGGGGAACATCGCTGTGAACGAGCAAGAGGACATCGTTGTGGGTGATATTAGCGACACGGACCTAAAAAAGGCCAAGCGCCAGTGTTATGTGAACGGATGGTTACACAGAATCTTGGTACCTGAAGACATGACGGGCGAGGAAAAATATGTACTTCCATCTCGACTGCACGAGAAGCAAGTCTTCCTAAGTATTGACTCTGAATACTTCGGCTATATCATGCTAATAGATCTTAGATGGGTTGAATGGATCCTCGGCAAGAAGAGAATACCCTTGAATCCGAGATACGCTCATTTGCGAGACCTTTGCGTGGACATCCTAAAAGAGTTTTCCGCTGCCACTCTGCGCCATACCGCTGATGGGAAGGTTCTCACCAGCGGGGCTCAATACAAACCTTTCGAAGCTGCATATCAAGACGAGTGTTACCGCTGTTTTGGCGTAATCGCCGGCAAAGGCGTTCCGATATGTTCGGAGTGGTCAAGAACAAAAAGTGGTCGAGTCGATTTTTGGATATCAGAAAAGAAATGGGCGGTTGAATTACTACGCGAAGAGGACCGTGTCCAAGACCATATATCACGTTTTTACAAGGGGGGTCAGTACTACTCGTGGACTACCGATGGTATGATCCAAGACTGGGTCATAATAAACTGTGCAACCTCTCCACCTACTGGCTGTAAATTCATATAATCTCCTTGTGGGTTGGTACTTGTTGACAAGATAATAGGCTACTCCGAATCAAAACTCATACACGCAATATTCACTAGCGACTGGGAAGAATTGCAGATATTCGATAACGAGATGTCTCCCATCATTAACAAATGTCCTCTGATAAACTGATTGTACTAGCGAGTAGCTCGATATTAAGCGTTGTTCTTTTGACAACGGGAAAATCCACTATCCGTAATCCTCAAAAGTACGGTAGGTGGAAATTCCGGCGTGTCGTGGCCAAGATGATGCTTTTCCTTTGGGGGGGCCGCTCCGCTTCACATCACTGTTCTGCAGTCGCTCTGGCCTTTTGATGCACATGAAGGAGGAAGCGAGAAGGCTTGAGAGGTCGTAGTTCCAGAATCACCAGACCCATGTCCAATCAGCCTTCCGGAGAGCCACAAGTTCCCTGTTATTCTGTGGTCGAGGGCCTGCCCACTCATGAAGTTAAGAATACATTGATAATTCGAAGTACCTTTTTAAATTTGTGGGAGTAGTGCTAAAGCCAATCCGATTTTGCTTATGAATTGAGAATATTTAATCCGTCTTGAAAACCAGACCTTAAGGGCTGGGATAACTCATCAGCCAAAGTTGATTGGCTAACTCGTTTCACCCGGGCCAATGATATTCGGAAGGGTGCCAAGCGTCCACCGCTCCAATTACTATGCCCTATTTGATCTACAGAAATCTTCAAACTCTGGGGCATTTCCTGAACAAGCCTTTAAATAATAGACTGTTGCTGTGCGACATGCATCGCCAATACTACATTATGTAGGTAAATCACTAGCGTTACGTACGCATGTACTAGTGACAGATCACCATGCACACATTCGTGGCTGACCTTTACGCTTGGCTGGATCTTTCTTCAAGATGGCCAGTTCTTGAAGTGACCTCGACTCTATACTCCGTAATTAGATGTTATCCTCTGAAGCTACGGAGTAGACAAAGTAGTAAATCCCATTTTAAATCGAAGTATGTTGATCCTCATCCTTGTCACCTTGTATCTGCGATTGCAATACCTTTTCCACGTTGTGCAATTTCATTCCTTCTTGTACAAAGAGCGTCGATATATCCAGCCAGGAGTTCGGCTCAGCTCGGAGTGGGTTGACCTGTAGATGTGGAATATCGATCTGACATGAAAGTTCTTAGATCAGCGATACACTCTAAGACACTGTCGTCTTGTTCAGCTTGATGAGCGGTGTGGGGTATGCATTACCCCTTGCTACTGCAAGGGTGGTACAAAAGGTATTTAATCACAACAGCTCTCCTTTCCCATGTCTCACATGATTGTTATAACTACATCCTCTGAGTTGACATCAATCAACCCCTACTAAATCCTTCAGCTGTCGTCTTCTAGGAAGGTTCGTATATCTAATCTGGCCATATACATAAACTTTCTAACAATCCCATCCCATTTATAGCAAGAATAGCCAAACACACGATTATACGAGCAAAGTGGCACTAAACATCAAGCCTATCACCAACCAGCACGTAAGGCAGAAAGAACCTACGCTTAGCAATCATGCAATTCTCTCTATTCCTCTCCGTTGTACTCACAACCGCCGTGGCCGCTCAGTCTACCACTCTGCATCGGTGAGAAAAGAAACGGGCGGGCATCTAACCTATCTCGAATAGGCTATTGTCTATCTTGACCCCCAATTCGCAGGGCCATCTCAGCAAATTCTTTCTACAGAACAATGTGTTCCTATCGATCCTAACACTATGCCCCCAGAGGTCGGGTCTATTCAGGTAGCGTCAGGTGTCCAGTGTACAACCTACTTTGACCCTGATTGCCAGAATCCCAACCAGCACCTCTCGGGTAGCCAATCCAACATCCCGGGCCCGTCCGATGCACAGTCTCTACTTTGCCAGCAGTCTAAGCAATAAGAGAAGCGGGCAGAGTGTGGGTGGTTATATCGAGATATGCAGTGGTAACTTACCACGCGCAAGAATCTGGTCATGCTTCTATCCCTTTTTCTTACGTGCCCTGGAGCAAATCTTGTCGTAGATAGAGAAGTAATCAACGTGCACGTACTGATCTGTAGCCAAGTGGCTTGTCTATTCTATGCCATCTCTTGGTCGATTTACGCAACAATTGGCCATTGCCGGATAAGGCCATGGTCAAGAACATTAAGACAGACTGGGACAGAGACCTTACAATTTATTTTCCAAGAATCAAGTGAGACGAGGTCACATGACTGCCAGAAAATCGGCGCCGGTGGTCCGAGGTCCAAGGGGTAGTAACTTGGTGGTATATATTTAAAAGAACAATACGGACGGTGATTACAGAGGACAGTACAGAGTATGAGAGAATAGGATACGATACAGCCAAGCTAACCGGAACAGGGAAGTCACAGGTCCTCGCTTACAATAACAATTGTTGAGATCAAGATCGAAGTCCACTTCGCATCCATGCTCCACGCGTAATTCGAAATGATCTGAATATAATCTATCCCATACAGGAGGATCTACCGTGCAGTTGGGAACGCGTAACAGTCAATAAACTTATTTGCTCTGACGGACAAAAATAGGACGGGTTGGAAAGGTGGAACAACTGAGAACTTGAGAAGTCGCTCTTGGCGCCCTGACAGGGACAATGCCTCGGCTTCAAATCAGGAGTGGTTCTATCGGTTCTATCAGACCGATTGATGAGGATCTTCATATCATAGAGACACTTACGACCGCCTGAAGAATGAAGGAACGCTGTCCATGTACAATGGTCCCCCATACTTTCGCTAACGCTCGCTAACGCTGGACTAGTGACCATCGTGGCCCTTCTCCACCCTGTCAGGCGTTGCTTTTGTCACTAAATCTGGGTGCGGAGAACGCTACGGAGCCTTCCGCTTGCTCACGATGCAACCCAAGCCATCACATGGGCTCGTCTCCCCTCAATTGCCCTGAGTTCTGCTCTGCTCCCTGCCCGGAGGGAATAGGCCCAAATGAAACGTCCCATTCTTCAGGACGATCAGTCGGCTTCCGACGGGAAGCGCGGCCTCAGGGGCTGGACGTCCTGGAGATACCCCGCTATAAAGCTGGCAGGTTCTGCTCTGTTTCGTAGACAGGATTTGAGATAGTGGAAGATAAGCTGCAGCTTGGTTAGCGATCTTGACCCCCATATCAAACTAGGGACATGAGACCAGCTTACTTCCTTGCGGCCCTGGCCTCCGTGGCTGGCACTCATGCTAATCCCGAGCCCGACTTGGCTGGTACGATCTGGGACGATATCAAAGGAGCAGTCACCTGTGCTGGCTGTGAGGTATGTCGGATAGATATCAAAACCATCCATGGAAAACGAGATAGGCTGACTCTCGTAGGGCCTGCTGGGGGCACTCAAACTAGCCGCTGGTTTGGGTCAAAGTGCACTGGAAAATATTGTAACTGGCGCATGTAAGTTGGCAGCGGTAAGTAAAATGCTTTCGATGGAATCCATCACAAGACAAAGTCTAAAGGACGTCGGTTAATACCTCATGCCAGATCGAGGATGATGATGTCTGTGAGGGCGCAATCAAAGAAGAAGGCACGGCCGTTTATTACGCCCTGAAGAATCTGAAGGTCGGCTCGCATACATCGAAAACCTTCTGCTCCAGTATTGCCGGCCTTTGCGAGTACCCTGACATTCGGCCATACAACCTCACCTTCCCCGTGGCCAAATCCTCGGCCACTCGTCCACCCCCGAGTGGTCAGTCTCCGATCCGGGTCGCACACATCAGTGACACGCACGTTGACTTGCAGTACACCCCCGGGGCCAATGCCCAATGCACCAAGCCTATTTGCTGTCGTAGTTTCACCCCGGAGGACGCCCCCGGTAACACCTCGAACCCGTGCGGACTCTGGGGTGACCATCACTGCGATCCCCCACTTCGTCTCGAGGACTCGATGATGGACGCTATCGCGGCCCTCAACCCGACGTTCTCCATCTACACGGGGGACGTCCCACCACACGACATCTGGATGGTGAACCAGAGTTCAGTCCTGCAGAGCTTCAACTCCACCTACTCCAATCTGGGGAAACTGGGCGTCGTCTACGCGGCCCTGGGGAATCACGACACAGCCCCGGTCAACCTCTTCCCTTCGGACAAGGTCCCACCCTCCCACAACCCCCAATGGGCGTACGATGCCCTAGCCAGCGACTGGGCCAACCTCATCGAGGGTTCACCCAGCTCCACCACCAAACACGGGTCCTACTCCATTGTGCACCCCAATAGCAACCTCCGCATCATCTCCTACAACAGCGTCTTCTACTACAAATACAACTTCTACGCCTTCCAGGAACCAATGGAATACGACCCGGACAACCAACTGCAGTGGTTGATCTCCGAGTTGCAAGCCGCCGAGACCGCCGGCCAGCGCGTGTGGATGATCGCCCACATCCCCACCGGCAACACCGACACGCTGCACGACTACTCGCACTACCTGGACCAGATCATCAACCGCTACAGCGCCAGCATCGCCGCCCTCTTCTTCGGCCACACCCACACGGACCTCTTCCAAATCTCGTACACCAACTACACCGCGCGCACCGCCGACTCGGCCACCGCAATCGGCTACGTCACCCCATCCATGACCCCGGACTCGGGCGCCCCGGCCTTCCGCATCTACGACATCGACCCGGTCACCTTCGCCGTGCTCGACTACACCGTGTACACGGCCGACATCAACAGCACCAATTCCACCAACACCCCACCCAAATGGGTCAAGTACTACTCGGCCAAGGAAGCCTACGGCTCGCTGCTGACCCCACCGGTCACGGACCCCACGGTCGAAATGACCCCGGCGTTCTGGCACCAGGTGACCGCGCAAATGGAGAAGGACGACTCGGTGTTCCAGGCGTGGTGGGCGCGCACCACGCGAGGCTACAACGTCACGGAGTGCACGGGCGACTGTGCAAAGACCAAGATCTGCTCGCTGCGCGGCGGAGACGCCCAGTTCAACTGCGAGGGCGCGGGGACGCCGTTTAAAATTACGAAGCGGAGTGATGGGGTAAGCGAGGTGCATGTGGAAAGACCCTTCTGTGAGGATGCCGTGTTGGCGAGAATTGTGGGAGGGCTGACGCGAAAGGGCGTCGATGCGGAGAAGTATGTTCGGGAGCAGGTGAAGCTTTACGAGAAGGTTTAAGTTGACGGGGGAAGGGGTTTTTAATCTCTGTGACGTTGGTTGATATGTATCTTGGTATATATAATGTTGAGTGTCTAATGATCCACCTTCGGAAGCATTGACTCTGGAACCTTATGTGGAAATGATCGGCTAGTAAGAAAGAAATCAACTGACCCGGTTTCTGTATCACCCTGCTCGTTTTACTAGTTAAAAGAAGTCTACGGTGGACACATGTCAGGCGCATGTGTGGAGCTTGCAAGAAACCTTTTTTTTTATCATTGTTCCCGAACCATTGCTACCTAATGCGCGCCAGATAGAATACCCGATTCCATCTAATTTGCAATGCGCCAATCCCAGTGTCGTGGTATCATGTCATGGACCAGATGCGTCCTGCGTGCTGCTTCTTGTGTCGAATGTAAATGTGGTGTTAAATAACCCGAGAATATCTATGAACATAGCTCAAATACTCCATGGGGAGCAAATTGAGTAAAAATATGTATGAAAACGAGTGTGGAGAAGGGTAAGAAGAAGTGAAAAGTGGGGGTATGGATGTCGACGAAGCGAAGCAACAAAATCAAGCAAAGAACCAGCAGAAGAAGCTAGCATTCAGCGCATTTACTCCATGTACCACTCAACATTGTGGAGGCGGCCCTCAGACTCGGAAGCCAGGGAATTGAAGAAGTGACGCGACAGGTCAATAGAGGTGCTGTCGCAGCCCATGCACTTGTCGACGACCTTGCCGGACACGACCTTGCCATTGTAGTGAACGGTCACCATGCGACCGCAGTCGCTGTCCTTCATCAGGCCGACGGGAAGAGCCAGGACATCCTCAGTGGTGCCGTCGTTGGTGAATCCACAGCTGCTGGGGGCAAGCTGAGAGGTGGCAGTGTCGTAGAAGGTGACCTGACCCGTGCACGGGGAGCCCTGGGAGCAGGCACCGGTGTATCCGCTGCCACCGCTGCCACCGCTGGGGGTGCTGGCGGTAGGCTGAGGGGCAGCAGAGGTAGTGCTCGACGATGTCGGGACCACGACCGGAGGAGCGTTGGTGGTGGGCTCGGGCTGCTGGGTAGGCTCGGGCTGTTGGGTAGGCTCGGGCTGTTGGGTAGGCTCGGGCTGTTGGGTAGGCTCGGGGGTGGGAGTAGCAGAGGTAGTAGGCTCAGGGGCGGGAGACCACACTGGCTGGATGGTTGCAGATTGCTGGGGCTCGGGAGCCTCACTCTGCTCGGGCTCGTCAGGAACCTCAGTGGGTTGAGCAGGCAGGGGAGTCACGACGGGAGCCGAGGACGCAGGGGCAGCAGTGGGCTGAGCCGGTGCCTGGGTAGGTCGGTCCATGGTGATGGTCGTGGTGACCGTCACGGTAGTCCATTCGACCGTAGTGTGGGTGTTCACGACAACATCCTGACGCTTCTGCACCGGAGCGGTCGAGGCGACGGCAGCGAAAAGAGCGCCGGCGAGGGCGAGAGTCTTAGCCAGAGGAGCCATTGTAGGTAGAATATCTTGTTTTTCAAGGAAGGTTGTGATCGGCGAGCCGAGGGAAGTCAATTGAAGGAATGAGTCAATTTAACCAACTGCACAGCAGCTTGGGGAATTGAATGAACACTCAGAAAGAATGAGAGTGTTGTAGAAGGAAGAAGGAAGGAACGACAGAAAGCTGTCTAAGAGAGAGAAGACTGTGGTGAGTATCGGTGAAGAGAAGGAAGAAACCGGTAAGGGAGGGAAGGTCCAAGTATTTAAACGAGGTTGCATGGGATGGCGACTGACCTGCTCGGGTTGGTCCGACTTCTACCTAGTACTAGGGACTCGTCTCGTATAGTAGGAGGACTAGCATCCAGACTAGTTCCTTTTCTTTGTCTATTTTTTTTTTTTTTTTAATTCGATATAAATTTAATTATTTATTTATCATTTTTACTTTGACTTTTACATTTTTTTTTAATTGATTTTCCAGTTCTTCTTGATATCATTGGCATGCGCCGGGGGACTGTTCAGGAACGCAGCGAATAAATTGCATGTTCATCGGATGGAAGTGGATCTCTCGGGTTGTCCAAGCCCCGGACCCACCGCACAGCTCGTGAACCCATGGGACGGAGCAAATATTAAATTTTACTACGGCCATGGCTCACCTCATCACTTTGCTCCAAATGCGCCCACTTTTGATGACTCGGTTCCACTCGCCCTGAACCTCAACCGTTGGATTGGGATCGGCTTAACTTTGGGTTGTGTGATTGAGATGGCCCGAGAGTTATCCCAATGTAGAAGGGCCCTTCTCCTCCCAAGGCATGGACGAGGAGTACTCGGAGTATGTATGTTGTTGTGATCATTGCCCTTGCGTTGATCTGGAAAATCCGGAAAGAAAAAGAAAAAGAAAAAAAAAAAATACATCAAAAGTGCGAGGAACCATTACACATGCATTCTAACCATTTGCTCACCGGCAACTTTGACCTGTCAGCCTCAAGCGGATGACGTGTGGTGCAAAAGCAGCAGCAGTCCGAGGCATCCGAAGGGAATCAAAAGTTTGGTGATTGATTGATTGAATTGAATTCAGGTACCCGCTTGAAAACTGGACTGATTGGCGGTGCAAGATTGGCGCCGGTGTTACAGCGTGTACAATCTATGCCCATTTCAAGCATGGTGTCGCGACTAAATCTCGTCTAGCTCACTTTAGCGTAGGCTTGGTATTGAGTTTAGGTATTTTTCTGGCCCCTTACGGTCCCTCCATTCCTCGTCTCTGGAGTCTTTCCATTTCTTTTGCCTTTGGGTTCCAGGGGGATCAGCGCCTCGCTCGTCGTCCGAAATGACGATGGTACCTGGCCTCCGCCACACTCTTGAACTGGCACCTATTTCCGGTGTGGCTTTGCCCTCGTGTCGACTCTGTAGAAACTAGAGAGAGGTGAATTCAATAAAGAAAATTAAATAAAAAATAATAATAAATTAAAAAGAGATTGTCCACCTTTTGAATCTGATAGGGGAACTCGGCTGACAAACTTGAAATGTCCAACCCCCAAAAACAAAGATTCATCAGAGACATTCATTCGTCAACTGTCTTAGGTCAAGGATGAACAATTGAAGCGAAAAGAAGCGAGCAGAGAGATTGACTCAACCCTGTCAGCAAGTCATGGATAAAAAAAAAAAAAAAAAAAAAACGGCTCATTCTAGCATGGATACGTGGATGTCAATGCGCTGGCCAATATGATGCTTTTCCACCAACACACTGTCTTTCCCAACGGCTTTGTGCAATTGGGGGGGGTTCTTTCTTCTCTCATTCGCGAATACAATCGGGCCCCCCGAAGTCCAGACCTCTTCTCTTTCTACGCTCGATGCAGCGTAGCATGGAAAAGTGGAAAGAAAAAAAGATGCAACCCTAATGGGGCGTGTTGACTTGGTTAGTCTTCATCCCCCACCCGTGCACTGGACTTAATCGACTCGGTTCTTTCAGGTACGGACGCCACCCGCAAGATCACATTTCCTCAACGCCTCCGTCGTACCTTTTTTTTCCCCCCGTTCTTTTTCTTTCTCGGGAGGGGTTGAGTGTCGAAACTGTGTAACACAAAAAAGAGGGGAGAGTCTGTGTCCCTGCATGGTTTCATAGCGATTCAACCCAGAACTTTCGACTGCAGCTTACGATATCTACAGCTGAGTTGGGGGGGAACACTTCGACATCGGCATGTATCCTGTCATCGAGGTCTCTCTCATGCATGTATGCCTTGTAAGAAAATCAGATGTTGTTCGGTGGACACCGCGAACTCCACCAGTCTAGGCCCGAACGCTGGGCCGGATTTAATCTATCGTTGCCCGAATCTGGTCCCTCCTCCCTAGCCCTATGTTATCGGTCCCTGAAGATTAGATGGAAAACCACCGAATCCATACCACTCCCCCGCTTTAAGGGCATGGATGGGGGGGAATCCGAAACGAAGAGAAATAAAAATGATATCGAATAAACTAAAACATCACAGAATAAGCCTCGTACAAAGCCCGCCCCCCCCCCTCTTACATGTCACACATCTGATATAATACTCGTCGTTGCCCGGCCCCAGTCTCATCCCATTCTCATCAGGACCCCCAAATAAGCGGGAACGGGAGAGGGAAATGAATGTGAATGTGAATGTGTACCCTTTGACAGGACGACACATCACAACCAGGACCAGGCCCCGACGGAGTACGAACAACCCTGTACCACAATGCAAAGTCATACGTCAGAGCAAGAGGCCCCAAGTCTAGACCCCCGGGTACAGGACATCTGCCCGCGTCGTGCTCGGGGCTCTGCCGTGGAAAGAGACTAATCGGGTTCTATGCGGGATACTTAGGGTATTTGTTTCTCGTCTGCTAGTATTGAGTGGTATTGAGCTGGTAACTTCAAATATGGTGGCAATCGATGTGTGAGAGACGCTAGGGCAGGGAAACCCCTCTTTTGGTACTAGCTTTAGGAAATTTTCTCCTGGTTAGGGCTTTGGCGAACGACGGGCCTTACTTGATAGGGTGCTTCGTGTACGAGAATTACGAACTGGTGAGGAGTCACGTTATTCGGTAAGGCAGCAGCAGGGTCACGTAACTTGGCAGGTCAGCTTGGTATTGCATTCAAAATGGCCTTTTTTGAAAAGCTCAATATTTTTAGCCTATTGAAGTTCTATCTACCTCAAATTTTATATATAGCCTACTATACATTGAAATAGTAAGTTGATAAGTTTAGAGAGTATAGAAATCTGGAATTACCTGGATAATATATATTCCATTGATTGTAATCGTATACAGTGACATGTATCGTTCATCTACTGCCCGCCACTACATGACCGGAGGTTCTATTCATTAGGATAGCTCTCGCAAAGAAACATAGCAGCTCTTCGGCTTGTGAAAAAGGCCATCGACGGCATCATAGCTCGACAAAGAGTCCGGGCATTTCCGAAGCTCAAAATTCCACACGAAAAGGGCGATGGTCATCCGCAACTGCAGATAGGCCAGGTGTCGCCCGAAGCAACCCCGGGGACCAGCCCCAAAGGCAAGGGTCGGCCCGACGCTGGGGTCAAATACCAGCTCGCCGGGCTTCTCAGCGGACGGCCGGAGCCACCGTTCGGGGATGAACTGGGCAATATCATCCCCGGACCACGCAGAGCGTCGGCTATGTTTGGCGTTGGAACGTGAGGAAGCATTGCGCTTCTCCTCGCTGATATGGTGGGCTGGGGAGGTGAATCCTGCGCCGGCTGGGATTGTCCAGATGCATGTTCCTTTCGGGACATGGTACCCCAGAAGTTCTGTATCGCGAATCGCTACCCGGTCAACTAGGAGGGTGGCGGGGGAAATACGCAGGATTTCCTCCACAGTCGCATTTAGATATGGTATTTGTCTAGAGGTCATCTCGGAGGGACTAGGGGCACGGTTTTCCAGCACGGCTTCGGGGAAGCCAGCACGTAGTGAGTCCCGCAGTCGACTTTGTGATACGGGATTATCAGCGACGATCTTTATCGCCCATGCTAGAGTTAGGATATTGGTATGTGACCCGGCGAAAAGAAATCCATAAAGCTAAAGTCAACCAGTTATATATAAGTATATGATTGGAAGGGTGGGGGGGGGGGGGGGAAAGATTGCAGATACTACATACTTCATCTTCCATTGGAGGAGAAATGTATTCTGGCTGTCGACATTCCTGCTGCGACAGCTTGTTCTCGTGGTGAGCCATGAACTCTGCGGACGACCATGCCCCAGAGCTATCTGCCAAGGGCATCTTCTGCGCGATGGTTGTGGCTGCCGTTATTAAGCGCTCTCTGGTCACTCTGCGTTTTATGCGGAGGGCATTGGCCAGACGAGGTAGCTTGGACATCACCCACCACATTTGTCGGGGATATACAGACTTTCCGCAATGCTCAATGGCCTCGGTAATCTTCTCATGGGCACAGATGAACTCATGAGGAGTTGCCTCGGGAAAGGTGATCGGTGTTTGAGGTTTGACATCGGGAGCCAGTGTGTGGTCTGCTTCGAGAAGTTCGATTTGAGACGAGACTCCATTGTTGGGGAAGTCCTTCCCGAAACAAACCTCTATCAAGGCATCGATAATCATGTATTGAAAATCTCTTTTAGCTGCGAATGCCGCACCTTTGGCTAGTCTCGCCTTGGTCCTCCAAAGGCTGACCAGACGGGAGGCAGACGCATGGATTGCAGGCCCTGCGGTGTCCTGGAGGAACGGCTGGGTGACCAAATGCTGGATCAAATCACGATGCCTTCTCCACTCCGGTCCAGTCTTCATACCGATATGATGGGTGGGGGCTAAGCCTGAGAAGATATCATAAAGCATCGGGGCGCGATCAAAGTCTCGACTGCGGTAGAGGAGAATCTCCAGTGCCTCTTGCGGGTCACTGAGAATGAGAATTGGTTTGCTAAAGGGATCGAGAAATAGTTGGATGAGAGGAGATTGTAATTTGATTGTCTGCTGCAAAAGCCACGATCTCATATCGCCGGTTCGATCCATCTCATCTTTAAGCTCGGGGAGATCACCAAGCAGCTTTTGGGAAGCTGCGACATTGTATGGAATGTTGGGAATCGGCTTAGGGAGAAGCAGCCGGCGGCATAGCTGGTGCAATATTAAGAGAAAAACTCCAAGAGTGGCACTTCCGACTGCGAGCTTCGCGTAATGAGAATCGATATTAGTATTGAGATGCATATTGTTAGTTTGGGCATCGAAGTAATGAAGTTGGAGATTTTGGTAGGTATGAAACCCCAGATACGTAATCGGAAATCAGAATCCACAATTGCTATAGATAGAATAAGAAACTAAACCAAAAATTGAAAAGGAAGAAAGAAAGAAAGAAAGAAAGAAAGACAGAAATTCGGAAGATTGGAACGCACACGCTTGTGGAAAGAAGCTGCAAGGTTTATACTGCTCATATAGCATGAACCAGGGGCGATACCTTGAGCAGGAGCAAAAGTCACGCCGTGTTTGACTTTCAAACATAGCTTATATACATGTAAGGGTGACAATGAAACCCGATGTTCGGAGACATGACACATCATATTCTGCCCTCGAAGGTTGGATGTGATCGTCATTTACTGAGATTGCTTTTTGCATTCAAAAGACTAACCCAAGAAAGACAACCCATATGAAGCGACAGCAGGATTCAACACAGAGTATCTGCAGAGTGACACCTCTAATGATTTCAAATCTTCTCTACTTCTATACACGCAGGCAAGATCATTACAGAATACTTTAGTTTTGTTGTGCAACAGAAGTGGCGTACGTTATCAGTGCATTTCGGAGGATTGAGCCTCGAATCTTGCTAGTGATAGCGTGGTTTGGCCCCTCACATGAGAAAGGAATGCGAGAGTATGTCCGCCATGGCAAGAATGAAGCTGCACATACGCGAGGAATTTCGAACATTACATATTTCAACAGGGATCTTCTTCAGAGAGAGTGTCAAATGACATCCATATGGTGTCGCCGCTCGTACTCGCCTACTGCCTTTTCCTTTCGGTATCATTCTCCTCACACTTCGAGACACATCTGCGATGCATGTACACCGCAATTTGAACAAATTCGACAGTCCACATCAAGAACAACAACTGCAAAACAATTGAGATACCAGACAAGGACAGTTTGACGCCCTGCGAGAGGCATATCGTGCTTCGGTTTTGCTGTGTCTGGGGAGTGATTTGCTCCCACTTTGGATCATCAGGATTGAGCATCATACCCCCAGTAATCACGACTTGACAGCCTCCCTCCAGAGGTAGAGCATGGTGAAGCACCCAGTGGAAATATAAGAACATTATATGCCGTGTAAATATCCAGATAAAAATGAAGCCCAGTAGGGACAGTCGGAGGCTCTTCTCATAGTTCAGACATTTTAGGATTTGAACAAACTAGCAACTCTATTAGCACATGATCCTTGGTGATACTGACAGTCTGGTTTCCACCTACGGCTAGGAGGATATCTGCAAGATCAGCGGTCAGGAGAATGATGTACAATAAGGAGTAAGCCCGGCTATTGCAACAGGCAATAACCACCGCACAGGTGAGAATATGATGGAGGAATTTCGAGGTGAAGTCACTTCGTATGGGCTCAACAACCATGATCAGACACTGATGGATATAGAATGCAAGGCGCAGCAGGAATAAATATTTCATTGACTCGGAGATTGGGTGTAGCGGCCAGTTGTCAAAGAGCCACTGAGGGTTCAAACGATCAGGGCTTTCGTACCAAAGGCCCTACATAGAATAGATTAATTATTTGACATGGAATACTATTGGGTTCAGAATTACAACCCACCATGGCATACAGCATCAGGACGCCACGGGATAGTATTTTCCACCCTAGGGCTGCCAGATGAGAGGAGTCTTGGGCATCGAACCCCGCATATCGCAGCGCCGGTTGGAGGATTTGAACGGCTATGACAGAGCGGGCCAACGTAAAAAGAAAGCAGAACAGGAATAAGAACTCCCAATCGGCTAGTATATGACGGGATTGTACGGCGACTGGGCCAGATACCCACGACAAATATGGAGATCGGATGACCGTAATGAAGCCATTCATATCGCCAAATATATGAGTGGTGAGGACCAAGACAGAGCACGCTAGCAGGTAATCGTCACCAAACTCATCTTATTCCTCGTGCTGGAGATTGACTTACCCAGCTGGTTTGAGGCAATGAGCTCTCGCAGGCTTACTTTATCTTTGATGAACACCATCGCGATTTGTCCTGACGCAAATATTCGACTGGATCGGATTCAATAATCGGCAGGCTCGCTCTCCTGAGTAGAGCCGCACAGAGAACGGGATAAACATCGACAATGGATGAGCTTTCCAAAAGAAAAGCACGGAAAGGGGTCTAATGACATACCAATATGTATCCCTTGCTCTAACTTTTGTTTTTCAAGGACGAACAGGGCTGATAAGCTTTACTAGATTGGAAGACTTGAGAGCAGACCGGGGATGTGGAATTTCAGCTCCCCAAAGAAATATGGTCTGCACAACCTTTTGCAATATTTATGATACATCTGAAAGACTAAACGACAACCCCAGGAGCGCCACAAAAATTAGCTAGACCAGGCGATATGGGGAGAGGATTTATTTTTATTTTTGCTTTTTTTGGTTCAAAAAAAAAAAAAAAAAAAAACTTCCCAAGAAACCAATGTCTAATTAGCACTTCGCTACTGCTATCACGACCTGCTTTCCCTATCCAATAGCTGAACCTCACAGAGAGGTATAAATTCCTTCTTCGATACGAGCCAGCCCGGATGGAAGATGGCGAAAATGGCCACCAGGAGAACCATCATTACTGCATCAAAGGAGATCAGATAGCTCTCGTGTAGGAGAAGATATCCTCCCGGTCCCTGGCCCAGCTCCACTGTGCGATAAATACACCGAATAAAGATGCAAGTTGTAGTAGATACCAACACTCCAAGCCAGAGGTTGGCTGATCCGCTAGGCACGGGTAAGTCGTGGCAATAAACCCGATAGAAGACATCGCATGCGCATATCATGAATATTGCCATGGAGAACAACTGGAAGACTACCCCCGCTAGCATAATATGAGACCCATTGTCGAGATTACCATCGATCTTTTTTGAATCCGCAGAGGCGATACCGCCACCTACCCCTTGGATGACGATGGAAATAATGTCGCAGATACCAAATGTCCACAGATAGGATTTGGGGCCAAGATATGAGGAGGCCCGTCCCACGATGCGCACGAAACATCCGAGGAAAATATAAATCGCAGCGCTAAAGAATGTGGGAGCTGAATGGTTTCTTGTTATTTTTTGATATGTTTTGTATCGGGAGTGACATTGCTTACCGATGATGAGAGTTGAGAATTGCATCAGAAATGCATTCAAATTGTAGGGGCATTGAGTTGACCAGATACGAGCAGCCCATCCCAAAACCTCGGCTATAGTTATATACAGGGTTAGCCAAGTCAAGTAGGATTGCTTCCCCTAGAGTTAGTCCCACACCTACTGATGCAACCCACTGTCAAGAGCAGTGTCCACCAAGTTCGTTTCCATATTGCCTGTACCATATGAATGCCTGCTGAGAGGCCGAACAATACGCAGAATGCTGCAGCTGGAGCCAATGTAGGTAGATAGCCATACGGCGTGTTGTATCCATCTATCAGGGGATGGCAGCCACCTGTCAGATCGCTTGGAGAATCGGTCATTGTAGTGGTTTGGGATTGAGGGAGGACGTCGGAGCCGATTTAGGCGCAGGTTGTGCTTGGATCGTGAATTTTAAAAAGATCATCAAGCAAGGGGGCTTCCCTATTCGACATGGTCATGATTCAGAAGGCTGCATGAGTATGTGATCTATCGAGGATGGATACAAATTTCAACCGATTATGCAGATTGCCCCGAGTTTCCCTCTTTTGCACGATTATATATTTCGTTCATTAGAACGTGTTCTTGTCTTTGAGCCAGCAGCGCACGATGGATCATTGGAAACCCACGTGGTATGACAATCAGGAACATCCTCAGGTCAAGCAGCACACGCAATTTGGTCCCATCAGTCATGCCAGCCACCGGTATTCGAGTCACCATACCGCTCGGCTCTGGAGCGACCCAATTGTTGAACAACCTCCATATTTCTATATCATCACAACATATCTAAGTTACATGGTTATCCATATAATCGGTACCATCCGCGACATTTTTGGCCGTTACTTTCGTGAGAAACACTATCGTCATCTACGGCCGTGGAATGGATACGCGCCGTGGTTTACCGCCGGAGAGAGTGTCTATACACGACGAATGAAAGTGAGACTAGCTGATTGTCTTGATCGTCCCACAACAGGTGTTCCTGGACGGTACATCACTCTGATTGACCGAGAAACAAGTGACCATAATCGAACCTTCCATTTCACCGGCGCAACCACCCAGACACTAAACCTCAGCTCCTACAACTATCTTGGTTTCGCTCAGTCCGAGGGCCCCTGCGCGGACAGGGCCGAAGAGGCGATTCGCACGTATGGCATCAGCGCCAGTAGCACGCGGGCAGACGTGGGAAGCCTTGACCTCCATGTCGAGGTTGAACGGCTGGTGGCCGATTTCGTCCACAAGGATGCGGCAATGGTTTTCTCAGCTGGGTTCGGCACCAACGCGACCATCCTCCCAGCATTGGTGGGCCGAGGCTCCTTGATCATCTCGGATGAGCTCAATCACTCCTCGCTGCGATTTGGTGCTCGCCTTTCTGGTGCATCGATCGTTACATTTAAACACAACGATATGAAGGCCTTAGAGAGAAGGCTCCGACAGGCCATCTCCCAAGGCCAGCCGACGTCTATCGGCTACCGTCCGTGGGACAAGATCTTGGTTGTTGTTGAAGGGATGTATTCCATGGAGGGGACCTTTTGCAACCTTCCCGCCATTATTGAGTTGAAGCATCGTTATAAGTTTTACCTTTTCATGGACGAAGCACATTCTATCGGGGCCATCGGTCCCCATGGTCGTGGAGTCTGTGACTACTTTGGCATTGATACGAAGGAAGTAGATATTATGATGGGCACCCTGACCAAATCATTCGGAGCTATCGGAGGCTACATTGCAGCGGATCGGGGCATCGTGAACAAGTTGCAAGCTGTGAATGCAGGCGTGGTATACGGTGAAGCAATCGCCCCAGCAATGTTAGCACAGATATCAGCTGCTCTTCGAATTATAACCGGAGAGTTGGTACCAGGTCAGGGGGAGGAGCGACTCCAGCGCTTAGCTTTCAATGCCTATTACCTTCGCTTAGGTTTGAAGAGGCTGGGGTTTATAGTCTATGGCCATGACGATTCCCCGGTAATTCCATTGATTCTATATAACCCGGGGAAGATGACCGCATTCTCACGAATGATGCTGAAATGTGGGATCTCGGTTGTCGTCGTTCCGTATCCTGCCGTTCCACTTGGGCAGTGTCGCGTTCGTTTCTGCGTGTCTGCTGCGCATAATCTAGAGGATCTGAATAGGGTCTTGACGGCCTGTAACGAGATTGGCAATATTTTGACGCTCAAGCTCTCCCGTGGTCTTCCTACTCGGCTACGTCCTCAGGCCAAACCAACGGGTGGAAAAGCTGTGCCTTCTATCTGGAGATTAGAAGAAGTGATTCGATATGGACCAGAAGATGTCCATCGTCTTCTATAAAGGAAGAGTAATGCAACTGGTTTGCAATAGGGCCTCTCTCTCTCTCTCTCTCCGGCATTGATCATATCTACGCTTAGGCGTCTCAAGAGGAAGGATTTGGGGCTTGGCAGTATGAGTTCGCAGGTTACTTGACAATGTCAATATATGCTTTTGCACACTCAGATACATCCCTTTGATTGTTTTCCAACGCCATCCTCCTCATTCACCTTCGATTCTGACGTCTTAGACTACAGGTGGGTTCTTCCAGAGGCACATCATTATGGTACCAGTGTAATGTCCTCGGCTCACCATAAACATCCTTTTTTCTCTAGCCTCGGATAGGTCACAATTCTCCTCGCCCCTAGTTTGAGCATTCCACGGGACCAAGCCATCGAAGAAAGAATTTTCATATACGTATGCGGGTGCTTTGCGTAAGGTCGAAGACATGTCATAATTCCAAAGTTACTTCACCCCTTGATAAGCCACAATACCAATCCCCCAGCTGGGGGTGTCCGAGCGCTGTATGCAAGGTTTTTACCCTTTACTACTGATCGCCCCTTCTAATTACCTCATCGAAGTCTCATTTTCATCATTGAGAGTTGATCACATTGGGACAATTGGTCTCCATGTATGGGCGGTAGATCCATATCATGGATAACTGTCACTCTCCATGTATCGCCTTCTCAACCACGCCAACTAACAATAAAACACATGAATCTTCCGGCGCCACGAGCCCTTCAGTCTCTCATTTTATCATCGGGGAGATAGCCCGGTACAATGGGGCACTTCCGCACAGCTCTTCTTCTCCTCTCAAATGCCTTCATTCTCGTATCAACCATTGTATTCGCCGCAGGGCTTTTTCGACCCATACCACCCTCATCAGGTAGTGCAGTCTTGGGAGATGATGGAGCGATATCCGAAGTCGCACCTTTCCAGAAAGTGGTCTTCATGATAGTCGATGCACTGCGAAGGTATTTAGAAACGTGCACCAACGACAACCTCTCTGAGACCCATGTTAAATCCCTGGCAGTGATTTTGTCTATGGCCCCGATTCAAACTTTGAATTTACACAGAAGTACGCATTCGTCGACATGTCCAGCCCAAGCCCTTATATTGGCTAACGCATTCAAGTTTGATCCGCCTGGGTGCCGCCATGCCGTTCACAGTGAAAACCGGCTCGCCTAGTCTGACAAGATCTTGTGTCATGGCTATGACGATTGGCTCAGCCTCCAGTTTTCTTGATGTGTTTAATAATGCAGATGATGGCCCTGGTAGACCTGACAGGAGGGACACATGGCTGGCACGTCTTAAAGCTACGGGGAAGGGCAAATTACTCTTTTACGGGGATGATACGTGGGCGCAACTGTTTCCTGATCTCTGGGATCGGGGCCATTTCCACCCACCACTGTTCGTTCCAGTAAGTCCCTAGATACGACGTAATTCTTTCCCAATGATATCAAGCCGAGGCGGGCCTGGTTACTTTAGAAACTGAAGGGTGTATAGGACTTTCATTCCCTTGATATAAATATCACCGCCTCTGCCTTGGATGAGCTTCATCGTGATGACTGGAGCGCCATGGTCCTTCATCTTCCTGGGATCGATCATATTGGGCACATGGGCGGTGCTGACAGCCACCTTATGGCGTCTAAGCAAAAGCAAATGGATGATCTTGTTCAGAAAATATATACAAGCCTGGAACAAGAGGCCCATCTAAACTCAACCCTCCTTATAGTTGGTGGTGATCACGGCATGGATCAGCTAGGAGGCCATGGTGGCGGGTCTGACCCTGAAATATCGGCCGCAATGATGTTCATATCACCGCACATGAAGTCCATCAATCACGGCTACGAATCTCCTACAACACCCAGTGGGGGTATGTTTGACTACTATACGGGCATCAGACAAGTTGATCTTGTACCTACTATTGCGGGGCTTCTGGGGATTCCCATACCTAATGACAGTATTGGGATGTTCATTCCAGGGCTTCTACCTTTTTGGGAGGATATGGTGGATCGGGTTCAGTTAATCCTTGGCAATATTAAGCATCTCCGGGCTTTGCTTTGCACAAACGACTGTATCACCGATATGTCTGACATGGTTCCTGAAGGGGCCTGCTCCCCCGAAGGGTTTGGGCCGCGCGGTTCCTGGGATAATCTTTTCCAGCAACATCCCGACAAGCAATTCCTAGCAGATCTCTATGAGGTAAAATCCTACCCGTCAAAATAAACCGCGATGTGCAAGACGCAAAACTGATGGGTCCGGTGAACACATATTTCTAGGTTGGCAATCGCATCCAGAAAGTCATTGAGACCGCCACAGTAGGAACCATTCGAGTCTCCCTTCTTCTTTGCGGCATTCTAACTGCATTTATTGCGCTTTTGCTCTCTTGTTATGCTTGTGACTCATTGAGTTTGCTTAACTGGAACTTTTTCACATTCAATCTATTCTACACTATCTATGGGCTCTCAATGATGTCCCAGTCTATTGTGGAGAGCGAGCATCACTTCTGGTTCTGGGCCTCTACCCTGTGGATAGGCTACCTAGTATTCATCGCCAGCCGACACTCTCGCGCACCTAATTTGGTCCAATTATTGCCCTTCTTATTGCAATTACTTTCGCAGTCCTGGGTACATAGTCCCAAAGCAAAGCTTGGAGACGTATACGACGTTCAAGATTTTCTCAGCAGACATCCTTGTTATCTTCAGGCCTTGCTTGCAGCCACCTTCCTTGCGACATCAGTCAAATTCACTATGCAACTCAAGAAGATATTAAACGCTTCGTCGACAGAGGTTTTCTGCACTGCGCTAGCTCATGGAGTGATATCGCTTGCTGCCTTGACTTTCGAGCTAGCTTCTGCGATTAGAAACGCCCCGGACCAGATGAACTGCGCGCCGAGGTGGCTGCAAAGCTTTCTTCAGCGGCTAGAACCCCCTTTAGTGGCCCGGTCGGTTTTTCTCTGCTTACTTGGCGGGTTCATCTACCTTCCTTTGCGTCTCAGGGCCAAGAAACCGGTGACGATGAAGAAAGGCGGTATCAGTCCCCCTCGCAACATCGCTACTATAGACGTTACCACTTGTCTTCTCGAAATCCTGAATGTCTATTTAATCATCCAATCCACCCCGGTGAATATACCGTTGTTTCTCGTCTACAGGCTGCAACTCGAGTCACTTTGTGAGTGTTACAATTCTGCATAAACTAATGACGAGGAGAATATGTGCTTATCTTGCCATACATACATACAGTGTCATTCCCAGCGACTACTCTCAGTGCATTTCAGATTTGTGTATCTGTAGTCCTGTTCGGCCAAAGCGCATTTTTTGCCATTGGAAATACCAACTCCATTGCTACGCTGAAATATACAGACGGGTTCAACGGTCTGAACGCCCACCACTGGCTCCTGAGTCCCGTGCATACTTTCTGCAGCAACTACGCCGGTCCGATTTGGTGGAGTTGCAACGGCTTGCGACTACTTGGCACCAGAATGGCCACCGTCAAAGGTAAAGGGAACCATGGCAGTGGCTTTACCGAGCACATGGGGCTTCGGAGTGCCTTTGTAGCGTATGGCCTGCTTTGCGTGATGATTGCATGCTTCTTGCTTCGGGATGAGACGTTTACTTGGACGGTCATGGCGCCCAAGTTTACGTACACCCTGTTGTGGACAATCCCTTTTCATCTCTTGTTTAACATGGGTCTTCCCATTGTAGTGCGCATGGCGGCGGCCTTCCCCCAGTGATGGCGCGACGGGAAGCCATTCACGGCTCAGAATGTAACAGTACCTCGACTACGCAAGTCACCTCAAGCTCCGGGGAGCCAGGCGATGGATATCTCCTACTCCTACATGGCCCCCATCGGTTCCCGAGTGAATACCACAAACCTCTCCATGAATAAAGCACAAACGTTAGATTCCTAACCATTCTAAGTCACATTTTGCCATTAGGACCGTCCCAGGACGTTTGAAAATAGAAAGACACAAACCAGTCAAGGTTTTTTGGAGTACATGCATGTCAGACAACTCATAGAAGAACAGCAAAACCACGAAATAAACAGTAGAAGAAAAATCAAAACCCAGTATCCATCAAACTCATGATATCAATACGCACAAACAAAACATCAGATCCAGAACCGCACGCCGTTTGCAAACCCAATCATTATATAGAATATGTTCAACCTTGGCACATCACGCAGGCTTCCTTGTTCTCAATGCTGCATTGGAGAACCTGCTGAGAATAGATGTCATTCTCGCGCTCCTCGCTCGTCTTCTGCTCATCCTCGCTCTGAGAGTCGCCGTTGGTGGCCTCTTCCGCACGTGGGCTGGGCTCAACAGGGCCATTGGCCTGCCCGTTGGTCTCGCTGGTGGGGGAGCGAGGAACAGCGGAGTATGTGTTGGATGCAGCACCCACGGCCCGCTTCCGGAAAGAAGCATTGGCCCGAGCGACGTTGGTATCAGCAACCTTGAGGGCCTCCTGGTCCACGGTGAACTGGATGGGAGCCGAAGCGGCCATGGTACGCAGGTAGTACATGCCGGTCTTCAAGCCCATCTTCCAGCCAGCGAAGTGCATGCTGGTGATCTTACCCATAGTCGGCTCCTTGAGGTGGATATTAAGCGACTGGGACTGGTCAATGTAGGCACCACGATCTGCCGCCATCTGCAAGATCGAACGCTGGGAGATCTCCCACACCGTCTTGTAGAGAGCCTTGATGTCTGCGGGGATGTTAGGGATGTTCTGGACGGAACCACCTTCAGCAATGATACGGTTCTTCATGTTGTCCGACCACAGACCAAGGTCGACCAAGTCCTTGAGAAGCCAAGGGTTGACGACCTGGAACTCACCCGCAAGAACACGGCGGGAGTAGATGTTGGAGGTGTAAGGTTCGAAACACTCGTTGAAACCTAAGATCTGACTGGTGCTTGCGGTCGGCATAGGTGCGACTAGCAAGCTGTTGCGCACGCCAGTCTGCGCGATCTTTGCCTTGAGAGCGTCCCAATCCCAGAGATCAGTGGGGGTGCGGTCCCACATGTCGTATTGAAGGATTCCCTGGGAGACGGGAGAGCCTTCATACGACTCATACGTTCCAAAGTCCTTGGCCAAGTCAGATGAAGCAGTCAAAGCTCCGTGGTAGATGGTCTCGAAGATTTGAGTGTTCAGCTGCTTCGCCTCAGGCGAGTCGAATGGCAAACGCAGGGCAAGGAAGGCATCAGCCAAACCATTGACACCGAGAGCAATGGGGCGGTGACGCATGTTGCTGTTCTTGGCCTCAGGGACGGGGTAGTAGTTGATATCGATGATCTTGTTCAGGTTACGAACCAGCACCTGCACGACTTCGTGGAGCTTGCCAAAGTCATACTCACCCCGGGCAGCATCAACGAAGGTGGGAAGGGCAAGAGAGGCAAGGTTGCAAACAGCAACCTCATCCGGAGCAGTATATTCAATGATTTCAGTACAGAGGTTGGAGCTGCGGATTGTTCCCAGGTTCTTCTGGTTACTCTTTTTGTTACAGGCATCCTTGTACAGCATGAAAGGATTTCCAGTCTCGGTTTGAGCCTCCAAAATGGCATACCAGAGCTTCTGGGCCTTGATGGTCTTGCGGCCACGGCCCTCCTTTTCGTATCTACACTCTTGTCAGTACGGGCTTCTGATTTGGATTGGAGGGGAGTGTGTCTAACCTTTCATAGAGCGCCTCGAATTCGTCACCATAAACATCGGCCAAGCCAGGGGCCTCGTTAGGACAGAAGAGAGTCCACTCGCCGTTGGCCTCAACTCGCTTCATGAACAAGTCCGGAGTCCAGAGAGCATAGAAGAGATCACGAGCTCTCACTTCCTCCTTACCGTGGTTCTTGCGGAGATCAAGGAATTCGAAAACATCGGCGTGCCAAGGTTCCAAATAGATGGCAAAAGCACCTGGACGCTTGTTTCCTCCCTGGTCAACATATCTGGCAGTGTTGTTGAACACCCGAAGCATAGGAACAATACCATTGGAGGAACCATTGGTACCACCAATGTAAGAGCCGGTAGCACGAATGCGGTGCACATTCAGGCCAATTCCACCAGCGGTCTTAGAGATCAATGCACAAGTCTTGAGCGTGTCATAAATACCTTCGATGCTATCCTCCTTCATATCGACAAGGAAGCATGAAGCAAGCTGAGGCTGAGGGGTACCGGCATTGAACAAAGTCGGAGAGGCATGGGTGAAATACTTCTGAGACATCAAGTTATAGGTCTCGATAGCCTTCTCAATGTCATTACCGTGAATACCAACAGCGACACGCATCAAAAGGTGCTGAGGGCGTTCAGCAACCTTTCCATCGATCCGCAGCAAGTATGACCGCTCAAGAGTCTTGAAGCCGAAAAAGTTGTAGTTAAAATCACGGTCATACACAATAGCTGAGTTGAGTTCGTCGGCATGTTTCATGATAATCTCGTACGTTTCCTTTGATATCATTGGGGCAGGCTTCTTATTTTTTGGGTTGATGTAGTGGTAAAGGTCGGAGATAACCAGGGAGAACTGCTTCTTCGTTTGCTTGTGAAGGTTCGAAACAGCTATACGAGCAGCAAGAATGGCGTAGTCTGGATGTGTGGTGGTCATGTATGCCGCAGTCTCAGCAGCCTACACAAACCCATCAGTATATTGCGTCGGTTTATCTGTGGAGCTGCGGAGCCATACCAGGTTGTCAAGTTCAACAGTGGTGACACCCTGATAAACACCAGAAATGACCTTCTGGGTGATAGCAGCAGCGTCAACATGCTCAGGGTCAAGACCATAACATAGCCTCGACACACGAGCAGTAATTTTGTCGAACTGCACGCGTTCTTTGCGTCCGTCTAATAATCACGGTTTGTTAGCAGGTGTCCAAGTCGGTGGCAAGGTTTCGGACGAAACACGACAAAGGTCCCATTTGGTAGCAGAATACAGGTCTAGGTCCGAACTTAGAAAGAACTAAAGGAGATCAATGCATACCTCTCTTGTAGACAAACATTTTGACGTGTAGAGGGGAGAGCTCGGAAGATACGTGAAGAAGATGATAAGAAACAGGGTATAATAGTATTACTGAACGGATGAAGTACTAAGGCTCTGGAATGAAGAAAAAGCAAAGGCAAAGTCGTTTGAAGATGATAAGGGAAGCCCTGAGGACTGAAGTGAAGAGGGGATGAGAATGAGAAAAGAAGTTGGAGGGGCAGAGAGTCCAGCAGATATTTGATGCTGCCGGGACCAACAACGCGTTGACGGTGGATATCAACGCGAATTTTCGTGTTCGGACCAAGTAAATGGGTCTCCCTTACTTAAGCATCGAACCCCGAAGAACCCGCCAACTCACGTGATGCTGATGCTTTCGTCACGCCACGCGATTGATGAACCTCCGATCTCGCTAGGGTATGAATCTATGGGTAAACACGCTGCTCTATACTCCTTTCAGCTTTATATCTGACGTCAGGTCTATTGCCTATCAATTAGTTCAGACGCATCCAGAAGTCTGGACTTAGATCAAGGATCACAGGATAGTTACAAGGTTGATTTCCTTACTATCTACCAGGAAGGAGCATACGGCCTCCTTCTAGTTATTGCAACGCACCCTTACATGACTGAGATTGGTCCCAATATACGTTTGGTACAAAGAATAGAACACGAATGGAATTAAGTCATTCCACCCAGATACCCGATACTCACTGCGCAGCTGAGTAGAACGATTCGAAGGTTGATCACCCTTACAGCGTAGCGGCGAAGCCGACGAAGACAACCGCAGCAAAGGCAGCAGCGGGAATATGTCTGTCAGACGAGCCAGCATTGGTATGAAGAGGTACGCCGGCAGAAGAAGTCGCAGAGCCGGAGCCGGAGCCAGAGTTAGAGCCAGAATCAGAGCCGGAGGTAGGGTTAACTCCAGCACTGGAGCCGGAGCCGGAAGTGCTGGTAGCGGTAGCAGTGACAAAGCCGGAGCTGCTTGACTTGGAATCGGCGGTGGAAGTACCGGTGGAAGAGGCAGTCGAGGAGGTTGAGGTGTTGACGACTGGGAGAGCGATGTTAGCGCACTTCAAGTCACGTCCTCGGTACCAGCAGTCTAGCATGTACATACCGATTTTGTGTCCAGCAGAGGAGCAGGTGTCAGCGAACTGCTTCAGAGCGTCCTTCTTGTCATCATCGCTGCACACGCTCTCGATTTTAGTCTGCACTTTATCAACACAGACGGCTTTGAAATCACTGGGCTTTGGCTCGTTGCTAATCGAGTTGTCAGAAACCAAGCTATTCCCAAGGTCGCATTTTTTCTGTTTTTAGTATAAGCATACCCGATAACCTCAAGAAGGCAAGCCCTAGGGACTGCAGCGGCGGCAATGTTGCCGAGGGCCAAAAAGGACAAGACAAGAGCAGACTTGGCGAACAACATGATTGACGGACGTTTAGGGGTACGGGTGGTAATTTGGATTGGTGAGTTCGGGGTGCTGTGTAAGAAAAGACTGACGAAAACAAGTTTGATGCTAAAGAACGGACTGGGTGAGAGAAAGGAGTGACAGTTTGCGATAAAGAGTGACAGACAAGCGATGGAAAGAATGATAGATGATCTTGAGTTTGGAGCAGCGGAATGGAAATTTAATGGAAGGAGAAGAGAAAGTGAAGAGGGGACCTGTCCCACCCAATCAGGCATCGACCCTGCCGATCCTTTCCTGGCCCTGAGATCATGTCTGGGGTGGTTCTCATTTCCAACCGGTTTCCCTTGCAAATTTCACTGTATGGAACTATCTATTTTAAGTGGGCCCTTCTATTGCTTTTGTGGTAAAGTATCGGGACTCAATTGGTGGAGCTTCCCGGCAGTCGTGCCATCCGTTTGTAACACATGTACAGGGCAGTACTCAGTAATCTCAAAACCCCTTCCCTCTGTATTAATTAAAAGCCCAAGTCTAGAACATTAATAGATCAGGTCTCTTACCAAGTAAGTCGTACCTAGAGATTCGGTGCAAATTCAATGCTGCAAGTAAAACATTAAGAAACCAGTCCTGTAACTGTGTGTCAATTGCAATCCCCTAAAAGACAACCTGTGGTGAATACATTCTGCACCTTTTAGGTTAAAATGATGGGTTATCAATGCCAAGTCAGGTATCAAGTAACATTGTCTCAGTCCTTTTATTATCCTAAATTTATCCAACAGCTTGCAATAAGCTAAACTAATACATAAGTGGCCAGACTCCCCATGCGTCTAAATATAGTATACCTACTGTTATGTAACGCTCCCTATCCCCATTCTATGAGGTTTTCTTTAAGAAACTAAAACAAAAAGAAACGCTCTACGATGTGTCTTGCTGCGATCAACCATCTATTCCTCATACCCGCACCGAAAATCCACCAAGACCTGTCAGTCACTGGTCCCAGTTAGGGTCATAATGACTTGTAATTATCTCCTGGACGGGCAACCTATAGTCCACGATTTCCCGGCCATTCACAAGGTCATTTTCTGTCGCTCGCTTATCTGCCTCGGCTTCATCCTTCGCGATACCCGCCTTGACGTGCCTCCGAATCAACCTCTTTCGAGCTGTTTCGAATTCAACATCCACAAACCAAAGCTCATCCATCAGCTGTGCCGCCTTATTCCATGGCTCTTTATTTAAACTTAGGTAATTACCCTCGAAGAAGATAACCCTGCAGGTGGCGGGGATGGCAATATCATCGTCGACAGGATCTTTGACTGCATGATCAAAGCTTGGTGCGTACAAGCTTTGGGTCTCCGGCGTCAACTGCTCCCGCAGAGCCTGGACTAGTTTCAAAAACTTCTCCCCGTCAAAGGTGAAAGCTGCACCCCGTCGCGCAGCAGCATACACCGGGTCGGGCATTTGAGCGAGTTGCGCCCGCGTAAGATGATACCCATCCATAGGGATAGCAGTCGCGATAGGCGGTGAATTGAGATGCTGTGCCGCGTAGAGTTGGTTGATGCGGTTTGCCATCATGCTGGCGAGTGCTGTCTTTCCGGATCCCGGTATGCCACTCACTGCTATCATCAACCGGGAATCATCTGGCGTAGATTGGGTTTTCCCTTAAGAAAAGCCATTAGTAATCTATCGGTGTATGAATTTATTTTTTTTTTCGTCTTCGAAAGCTCAAGGCTAGACGTGCTTGCGGTGCAATATGCGGCATGCCGAGCGACTTACCCCAGATCTTATCGACTAACCGGTCTACCTGGATATCCATAATTGCCCCTTATATCTATATATCCAGAGTATATTTGGGGGGTAAAGGAGGATGCTAGTAATATAGAAATCAATCCAAATACCCCGGGTCGTGTCTCATGCAGATAAACGTTGCAAAGTACTTCAAAGACGCAAAATAACGAGGCTAAATCATTCAAACAAATCCAGGGCCTTCAAAGGTATTTTTTGGGATCACTGTGTGAATAATCCAACGCAAAACGTCGATCCTAGTTGACGTGATGGACAAAGAAAAGCACCGTGGTCCATTGAGATAATAGAGGCAGTCGGCGGGGCTTGTCATGGGAGTGGGGTTTTGCGATCTGTACGGAGAAGCATCATAGGTAACTTACGCACATACCGGCCCTACGTCACAGGGGTCGCTTTTCCCCATCCCGGAGTCACAAGGTTACAACAGGTACCTGAACAGGCACCACTACCACATCCAGTATCATGTTTATCTCAGGTACAAAACAATACCTTTGTCAAACTACCTATAGGTACCCTCTACATCTTAAGACAACCGGGTTACCAGATTCTAGTTCATGCGATCCTCGGCGCTGCCCACTGTTCAATTACTTCTGACTGAAGCTGTACAACCTGGAAATGCAGGTTATGTACCATGTATGCAGAATGTCAAAGACGACAAAAATCCTAGACAAACGCCCATCGTAAGTTGTCCGTAGATCTGCTTCCATCCTGACCCCAAGAAACAAAAGGCTGCAAAACTTCAAAATAAACAAAAGAAACGTAACCCGAACAAATATAGGGGAATAAACAAATGATCATCCCATTATAAGTGCTTCCAGCCACCGTAGGGCAACCCGCAAACCATGTATTTTGAAAGACACCAAGAACGCCGAACGTGATATCCTTCCCGCTTAACCCATTTATATCAACATCACTGTCCCTCACAAAAATGGAAGAGGTGAAAGGCTCAATAATTAACACAGAATCAGAAAGAAAGTATATAAGACCTTCACTGCTGCTGTCTGGACGGCCCATCAACTGTATCAGTATTGGTGGTCCCGTCGTTTGCACTAACCCCGTGGCCGATGGTACGAGACAGTCCAGCTGCTGTCCACAAGTCATCAGGGACATCCTCTCGACGGGCAAGCCGGTCCAAGATAGCTTGCATATGTTGAAGGTCCGGGTCTATAGAGTTGGAAATAGCTAATGATACCGCAGGAAGCGGAGGTTGGTTACTCATGGTCGAATGTGCATTACGTGCACGCCTCCTGGCATCCCTCCTGGCGTTAATTTCACGTATTCGGCGATAGTGGTATTGAAACAATGAGTTCTGGGTGGCCTCTGCCTCAGAATCGGAGTCGGAGTCGGTTGAAGTGGAATAGTCACACGGATTGAGGAACTCCGGATAAGGGTCGAGAACCATCTGTACAGTTGCCGCAGTTGAGTCCATAGAGCTTGGCAGTGTTCCGAAAGAAGTTGCCGAGCTTCGTGCCGTCCCGTTCATTGAAGCGTTTGTGCCCGCAGACGCGGATGTGAACGAAGAGTCTGCGCTAGGAAGATTGGTGTCCGGCGTGATGGTAGTTAAGAGCGTTTCCCAAGCATCGTTCGCATTGTCACCATCTGGGCTTATGCTCCGCTGGCGATCTCCAAGGCCGTCGACGACAGTCTGAGAGTTTGAGCGGCTTGGTTGATTAATAGACCGCTGACCAATCCGCCGTAACAGAGGAATAGTCGAACCAATCGAGACATCTCCACCCAAGGCTTCCGACCGAGGAAATGGAGACAAACGGACTTCGGGGGGCGCCTGAGGAGATGAGGTCCTGTGGTACGCAATTGCCGGGGCGAATCGAGGAGTGAAGGAGGGAGGCGGGTTATCTTGTTCCTGTCGAGCACCCCCATAGTCACCAGCCGCTGCGCGCAAGTATATGTCGTCTAACACAGTGTTACGCGGTATCCTCAATCTCTGGCCGGGACGGCTGTGGCGAAGAACATCGTTGAGTAGGCGCTGGCCAGCTTCTCTTGCGCTGGAATCCGACAGGCCATTGGTCAGATCGAATGGATCTTCACCGGAGCCAGAATTCGGGATAGGAGAGCGTACATGGCGCGGGAGCCCATTCGCTTCACGTTCAATCTCGTCCGCTAACGGACGAGGAAACGGCGAGCGCAAAGTCGCGCTGCGCAAAGCGGAGCTACTGTAGCGTGAAGGGCGCCGGATAGTGGTCTGGCGACGAATTGCAGAACGTGCGGCGGCACAAGGGTCTTTGACAGGATTATTCTTTGCAGTCTCGGTGGACGAAGGCTCACGGTACATACTGCAATTACGTTAGTCATGAGGGCTGTACCGTACATGATAAGTACCGCTTAAAGACCCGAATAAGGCCAAGTGCAAAGGATGGGACAAACTTACGGTATACCCATGACTACGAGAGACCCAAGGCTTTTTGTACGAAGACTAGTGTCCAAAATACCTTCTAGAAGAGACACCGCGCCAGAACCACGAGAAGAGTGTCGCGAGATTGAAAGAACGAAGGTGCGACGATTGCGGGGAGGGTGCGACGAAGCGTTGTGTTGATGGAGAAACGGGGAGATTTGGTTTTCCTTGTAAGGGTAAAAAGCGGAGGCAACTGGATTTGCCTTAGGCTGTCTGGCGCGCTTCGAGAGGGAGAGGCAGGAATGTGGCGCCAGTAGTGGCGCCAATACCCATCTGCGTACAATTCAGTACGGCCCGCCTCGGAGTTCGAGGAAGTTTCCCGTTTCCCGGCTTAAAACGCCGCTCTTATCTCAACGGAAATCCGATAGATAGCCGTGCGAGATGATGCCGAGTGATTTTTAAAGAAGAGCCATGCACTTCCCAATTCCTTTCAACTCCTTCCAACAACTAGCGACCACACTGATGTCGTCCTTCTCAGAGAGGTACTCCTGATCATGAGATTGACCTTGACTAGTTGCCAGAAAACATATAATCGGAGTAATGATCGAGCTCGGTCTTAGTCGCATATCCCGTCTCCTTCAGCAGACGCCTTTGACTTGGAAGGCCATCCACATCGCTGGAACAAATGGCAAAGGCTCGATCAGCGCTTACTTGTCTCACTTGCTGACTTCCGGTGGAGTTCGCTGCGGCCGCTTTACCTCACCTCACTTGATAGACCGTTGGGACTGCATCACCATCGGTGAAAGTGTGGTCCAAGAGTCTTTATTCCGGCAGATTGAAGAAAAGATCAAGTTGCGGGACCAAACATTGGGCATTGGGGCAAGCGAGTTCGAGTTATTAACCGCCACGGCATTCGAGATCTTTAACCATGAACGGGTTGACATTGGTGTGGTTGAAGTGGGCATGGGCGGCCGGTTGGACGCTACGAACATACTGAACAATGTGCTTGTATCGGTCATCGCTAAAATTGGTCTGGATCACCAGTCGCTGCTTGGAGACACCCTGGAGGAGATCACGCGAGAGAAGGCCGGGATCTTGAAGCGGGGGGTTCCGTGCGTAGTCGACGGAACGAACCTACCAGCAGCCCTCTCGACTATCGAAAAGCGTATCAAGGAACTTGACATCGATGCTATTTACACTCGCCCCGATGCACCGGATGAGCACTCCCCGATGCTTAGTCAGATTTTCCAGCAACTTGATACACTGCCTCACCAGCGGGCGAATATGTGTTGCGCAATCTCAGCTTTAAAGCTGGCCCTCCGGAGAGTCCGTCCAGACCTCAAGGTTGATTCTTTAGTTTCCCAGCTCTCTCGTGTCGAGTGGCCGGGACGTCTACAAGAAATTGTGCTGAGTCCTATGGTTGCCCGCACAGACTCTGTCCTCCTCGATGGCGCTCACAATAGCCAGTCAGCCGAAGTCCTCGGGCAATATGTGGACCGCAAGCTTCGACCGCAAGGGAGTCCTGTCACTTGGGTCATTGCAGCGTCACGTGGAAAAGACATAGCCTCACTGTTTCACCCTATCATCAAGGCTGGTGATAATGTTGCAACTACTGCGTTTGGGCCCGTCGACGGTATGCCTTGGGTCAAAGCAACTGAACCCCAGGAATTAGCCTCCAGTGTACAGTCTATTCCTGCAATCGGTGATGTGAAATCATTTGATGACGACATACTTGCTGCTATCAATTGGGCCTGTAGCAAGGCCAATGGCGGCCCCATGGTTATTGCTGGAAGTCTTTACCTTGTTTCAGACGTTCTCCGTCATCTTCGAGGGGCGCAGAAACAGTCGGAAAACACCGCTGAGTCGTGATAGTTATGGAACTGAAGATACCCCTTCATCGTTAGTAGCGCTTGGACTTCTCTGTACATCATTGGCACAGACTCAAGGGTCTTTTTGGAACTAAAATCAATACCATTCTCTCTCATACATAGACAAAATGTAATACATAAACGGCATGGCTCCTTTCTTATCCTTTGTTCTTTTTTCTTTTCGGTTTCAAGTATTTCTGTAACAACTGTGACAGCAGTCATAAAAATAATAGTAACATGTAAAGAACAGTGCACATTACTCGGGGTCCGATAAGACTGATCGGAGATACAGAGGCGGTCACTGCGTCATGCCCCAAACTGGTGGTGGCCTGAATTGTGGAGAAAGGGAAAGTTCAAAACACCCTTCAATTTGTTGCATTTGGTTCAGCCGACACAGCGGTAAGTTATATTTTCTTTTTTTGTAACTGTCTTGAGACTGTTTGTGCAGTTTCCCATCAAGTAAATTGAAAATTCTGACCTCAAAGAGAGCTGCAGGAATCTGATGTGTGCAGAGACGCGCTTGGTTCAACGCGGCTTAATGGGTGTGAGAGCAGTAAGTTATCTGTACGTTTTTTCCTAAGCTGTGCTCATGCCATGCCTTTTCCGGCATTATTACCTTCCTTCATCTTCGCCATATGCTTTGTTGTTCTATTCTCAGCTCTCACTAATGATGTGTGGCCACGAAAAACAGGTTTTGCTGATATGAACAATACTCCGATCGCCTGGCTCCTGCCTTCAGCCGTCCCGTTCCTCTCCTGAAACCGCAAGGTCCGAGATCATCTGTCGACATCGGTGAATCCAGACTGTATCTGACGAGGGGGTCAACTCATATTGGTCTGGATGATGGTTTCTCGAAGCAGTGGGGGGATTGAGGGGGCCCCTCCATCTTCTAAACCACAGAGTGCGCCCGCCAAAGCACGACTGGCAAAACTCGGCTCCAGCCCATCAAAACGAGATGACAGGCCGAAAGATGATAGAGTGGCGAAAACTACGGCCAAGGATGTTGCAGAACTGAAGGATTACGTATGGCTGTGATTCCGGAAACCTAGTGAAATAAGTTACTGACGCTTTATACGGTAGCAACTGGGTGATTGTTTGGGTAAAGGCGCATTTGGATCAGTCTACAGGGCACTGAACTGGAATACTGGGGAAACTGTTGCCGTAAAACAGATAAAACTGGCCGATCTCCCAAAGAGTGAATTACGTGTCATTATGGTAAGATCAGAGCATCCTGGCAGTGAATTGATATACGCATTGCTAATCTGGAGTTCTGCAGCTGGAAATTGATCTTCTGAAGAATTTGGATGTAAGCTCCAATGATCGAGGACTACGTAGACCCGAACCCTGGTAGACAACTAACCCAACGACTGCAGCACTCAAACATCGTGAAGTACCATGGATTTGTAAAGTCCGCTGAAACTCTAAACATCATACTTGAGTACGTTTACTGAGCCTCCATCGGATGGGTTTCAGGGCAAGAGTTGCTGACAGACTTAGATACTGTGAAAATGGCTCCTTACATTCAATCGCAAAGAATTTTGGCCGTTTCCCAGAAAACCTGGTTGGGCTATACATGTCGCAGGTTCTCCACGGTCTCTTATATCTCCATGAGCAAGGTGTCATACATAGAGATATTAAAGGCGCGAATATTCTCACGACTAAACAAGGCCTTGTCAAACTTGCGGACTTCGGTGTTGCTAGCCGTACTACTGGGCTCAATGAATCAAGTGTTGTTGGCACGCCGTATTGGATGGCCCCGGAAGTGATTGAACTGTCAGGTGCAACAACAGCTTCAGATATCTGGAGTCTTGGTTGTACGGTGATTGAGCTGTTGGAAGGGAAGCCTCCCTATTACAATCTTCAGCCAATGCCGGCTCTTTACCGCATTGTCCATGATGATCATCCTCCCCTTCCGCAAGGCGCCTCTCCGGTCTGTCCCCCGTCATGAAAATGTCGTTCCATGTCTAACCAACACAACAGGCTGTCAAGGATTTCTTAATGCAGTGCTTCCAGAAAGACCCGAACCTCCGCGTTTCTGCGAAGAAGCTTCTGAAACATCCCTGGATTGTCAACGCCCGCAGATCTGATTCGGCTGTTCCCAAAAAGTCAACCGAGTATGAGGAGGCAGTCAAAAGTGTCCAAGAGTGGAACGAAGCCCTGCGTTCACCCGAAGCAGGAACTTTGCGAAGACCGTTCAGGCATGATTATCAAAGTTCAGCCCCTTTAACATCACCCCGCAGTACGCCCACGAAGGCGTCTCCGATTTCCCGAAATGTGGCAGATCGGTTCAGGTCCCCCGATTCCATCGAAGAAGACAATTGGGATGACGACTTCGCTACTGCAATTTCCCCTAGCGCATTGCAATTACCTCACCTTCGCCCACAGGATAACTTCGGGGGGATGCTCTCCTCTGAAAAGCTCAAGGCTTTTGCGTCTTTGGATGGGACAGTCTTAAGGTCTGAAGAAAACTTTGACGATTTCGATGATTCTTTTCGAACCTCGCTGCAGTCTGGAGACTCGGATAATCTAGAAACCATACGACCATTTCCAACCAAACAGGCTGGCATCGAAGATACACAGATGCAAAACCAACCACGTTACTCGATCAATAACGCCATCGCCATGCATAACGTGCCCATCCTGACACAGAACCCGGTACCTCCAATGAGACAACCCCGTCCAGCTTCTTACTACAAGGAAAACTCTGTAGAGGATTACTCCGATCTTATACAGGCGAACGAAGATGTCCTGGACCGGAAGCTTGGCCTTTTTCAGGTAAACATGAAAACCGTCATTGCTATCGGAGTGACTTATGAGCAAGTCTTCTCTAACCTCTTAACAGGAAGCCGATGACGACATGGATGGGCTAGTATTTTCACCCACGAACGAAGTAGTCCGATATCAACCGCACCTTGAAGATGAGAATGACCCCCAACCTCAGCTTAGGAAAAGGATATCTGTTAAACGCCATCGATCAGCCATAGAGATACAAAGGTTCGCTGAAAATGAAAGAGATGAAGATTTCTCTGATATTCTTGGTGCGGATCAAGTAACTCTGGACAAGTCTGAGAGCGAGGGAAGCTCTGACCAAGGCACATTGATGCTGAATTCTAAGCTGTCAAATGATTCTTGGCTCGGGGACCAGGATGATGAGGATGATCCGTTTGCTCAGCTCGAGGAAGGGTTAGACGAAGTAGACCTGGAAGCAAATATCGCACGCGACAAACATGCGCGGCTCCGTGGTCAGGTCGAGGGTCTTGTTAGCTCATTGAAGACCTCACAGGATGAGGACGTGCTTGGCGAAATCTCCGAGCAACTTCTGAACGTTTTCTATGATCTCCCGGAGACTAAAAACATCATCATCAGCGCCCATGGGATGCTACCAATACTTGAGATTCTTGACATGTGCCGTCGGCGTGACATCATTTTATGCCTACTGAGAATCGTTAACGCGATCATCTACAATGATTATGAGATACAAGAAAATCTTTGTTTCGTTGGAGGTATTCCTATCATTAACGAGTTCGCTGCGAAAAAGTACCCACGAGAGATCCGACTTGAAGCAGCAACCTTCGTACAGCAGATGTATCAAACTTCCACTCTCACTTTGCAAATGTTCGTCAGTGCAGGAGGACTGAATGTTCTAGTTGAGTTCCTGGAAGATGACTACGAAGATGAGCGTGATCTAGTATTAATTGGAGTGACCGGTATCTGGAGCGTTTTTGAGTTGCAGGTATGTACCTGCATTTTCCACTTTGAGGGATACTCTGACAAATCCTTTTAGGGTTCAACGCCAAAAAATGACTTTTGTAGAATCCTGTCCCGCAACTCGGTATTGGATCCTCTGTCGTTAGTCCTGAGCCGGGTATTGGATGAAGAAGGGGAGCTAGCGGAGACTGTCGAAGGTCGTATTGCGAACATCTTCTTCATTTTCTCACAGGCCGAAAATCATGTAAAAGAGATGGTTGCTGAGAGAACGGTTCTACATAGTAAGACTGACTCCAAGTCTTGATCTTAATGATACTAACATCGTCGCTAGGGGTACTTAAAGAACTAAAGCGCATGACTCCTGCTCACCAGATAACCATGTTGAAGTTCATCAAAAACCTGTCTATGTTATCGACCACTCTGGATTCTCTACAGAATTCGAATGCTATCGATGTGTTGACGGACCTGCTCAGGTCTACCATTAAGCGACCCCATTTCCGAGAAGTTTCGAACCAGATCCTAAATACCATCTACAATATGTGCCGCTTAAACAAGCCTCGACAGGAGGACGCGGCTCTGAATGGCATTGTTCCGCTGCTTCAAAAGATAGTAAAGACAGAACGGCCATTGAAGGAATTCGCATTACCAATTCTCTGCGACATGGCTCATTCTGGCAAAGTTGGCCGCCGTGAGCTGTGGCGCAACAAGGGCCTGGCATTCTATATATCTTTACTTTCCGACCCATATTGGCAAGTGACTGCGCTAGACGCTATCTTTACATGGTTAGTATTTTCGTCCCGGCTGTATTGGAATGAATGTGCTCGAGCCTAACCGATCGACAGGCTTCAAGAAGAGACAGCGAAGGTTGAGGAGCACCTCCTCGACAACCGACCCGATAAACCATCATTTACAGATTCCATTGTTAGGTGTTTAACCATATCAAAGGCAAATGCATTTGAGAATCTCCTTGAACCCCTCCAGAAACTTCTTAGACTGAGTCCCCCCATTGCCTCGACGCTCGCGCGACCAGACCTGTTCAGCAGAATAGGGCAGAAACTACGTCATAGTAAAGCAGCAGTGCGGTTGAATTTACTCCGTATAATATCCAGCATCTGCGATGCAAGCGAAGAGCAGGGTGGCCTTCTAGCCAAATATGGATTGCTGGACGCGATCAGGGAGTTAGAGAACGATTCTGCCATTCTCGTCAGGGATATGGCTGGAAAATTAATTCAATCAAACGAGAGAAGCGAAGCCTATAGCCTGGGTAAACGCAAACCTGGCGTACGACGGCGAAGCACGTCCACAACACCTCCCAGTCTATTGGCGAACCAGTCTGCCCCGTCCACGCCACAAATCAACCGGGGTAGTCAGTCCAAAGGGTTTTTTGAAGGTCGGGAGAGCCAACGGCACCCTCGAAATGCCCTGAGTGGCTCTGCCCTTGTAATCCGGCCTGGAAGTAGAGACGGGGTCAGTTCGGGCCTTACGGCAGGCTTGAATGGGAACCCTGGTGTGTCGAGGAACAGGGTCCCGCGAGTGTCCAACAGGCTATCCCATGTCGACCTTCTGGCTGAAGAAGACGGTCGAAGACCAAGTTCAGCATCCCGACGGCCTTCAATCCTACCTCGACGTCGACATACAACACAAACAGATGCAGAGTGGACGCCGTGAGCTTGACACATAAGGCTGTCCTGTGTTTCACATTCTCTTTCCTGGATTTTTGTGCATATTTTCCTTGGTCCTTGGGGGTTGCGGATTCTCAAACGCTTAAAAAGTCTGCGGTATATTGGGTCTAATAGGTATGCATTGCATAGGATGGCGCATTGGGGGTTTTCCTTTGTTGGTCTAGAACTTGTCTTACGTAGACAGTTTCTTTGTTTGAGGTATAGCAGATGCAAAGGGTATCGTTCGGACTCGTCGTTCCTGTTCCAATGCATGGCAGTTCAGGAAGATGGTCCGGTCTGCTGCTTGACTGGTCTATGTAGATAGTGCGGTGATGGCTATCTCCTGCAGCCATGAGTAGGAGTGCTTGTTAATATGAAAGGATATACTGAATTCAGCCCTCTAGAGCAATCAGGCGAAAGGATTGAGTTAATCTGCAAGAGTCGGAGTACTTCGGGACAAGAGCTAAAAGCGGCAAGCGGCGAGTCCGACGGTGGAGCAAACTAAGTGTTCTACGGGATTTCAAGTCCTTCTTCCCCGTGACGCCCCCCGACGCAAATGGCCTGATTATACCGCTGGAACTATTGCCCATTCCACTCTCCCTCTCGATTTGCGGTCGCTCTTCATACGGCATTGCTTGTGTACGGTATGAGGGCGGCGCTCCGCGCTCCGCTGCGGGCATCCGATTTGGATCCTGCGCCGGTGCTCCGATATACCTCGTCTACTTCTTGGATTCGCCCTTTCCAGTGCGCTTCGGGCCCCTTGTCTGTTCACAGATCAGTCTCCAACTCCGCAAAGGCCTTTAAAAAAACCTGCCAATTACGCCCACGAGTACCATTGGTAGCATCAACACCACATGCTTCTTATTCAACCAAGACCTCCGCCTTGTTTGGTGCGGCGGAGAAGGCGAACGGCAATGGCAGGAAACCATCGGGGTCAGAATGGTCACGGAGAAAAGTGATCACGTATACGGTTGTTGGCGGAACTATACTCATTGGAGTGGTGGCATTCTCAGACAATGTTCAGCATCTCTATCGTGCTGCGGCGAGAACGGGGAGGGTCGTTGGCACATTGGCCGTGTGTATCAATGAGTAAGTCGGACACATGCACATCATACATGTCTTTTTGTCACTTATGCTCATACCAATGCTTTAAGCTATCGAGTAACCCTCAAGCGGGAAACATCCTCACCCGAAGAACGAAACGACGAACTCCGAGCATGTCACAAGCGTTGCGCAGAGCGGACTCTGAGGGTTCTCGAGAAGAATGGCTCCATTTTCATTAAGCTGGGACAACACCTCAGCAGTATGGGCTACTTGCTGCCATTAGAATGGACGACAACCTTCATTCCGCTTCAGGATAAATGCCCTGTCTCCTCGATCGAATCAATCGAACAAATGTTCATCGCCGACACCGGCCGTCGAATCGACGAGCTCTTCTCAAGTTTCGATCCAGAACCAATCGGCGCCGCTTCCCTTGCCCAAGTTCACATCGGTATCCTGAAGGAAACTGGCCAGAAGGTTGCAGTCAAGGTGCAGCATCCAGCATTGGCGGAATGGGTCCCCTTGGATCTGGCATTGACCAGATTCACCTTTTCTACCCTGAAGCGCTTCTTCCCTGAGTATGATCTGGAGTGGCTTTCGAAGGAAATGGATCTATCCTTGCCACAAGAATTAGACTTTAGGATGGAAGCCGATAATGCTAGGAGGGCTAGCAAGTACTTCAAGGAACATTCAGATGCGCCGCTTGTCATCCCAGAAGGTACGTACTAGCTTCATTGCAACGCAGTTACTGTATACTAATAGGCATAGTTATGTGGGCTCAGAAGCGCATCCTCGTCATGGAGTTCTTGTCCGGCCGTCGACCGGATGATCTAGAGTTCCTGGATTCCAACAATATCGATCGTGACGAAGTCTCCGCTGCCCTAGCGCATATCTTCAACGAGATGATTTTTGGCGACAATGCTCCTTTGCACTGCGATCCTCATGGTGGCAATATTGCGATCCGCAAAAACCCTAACCGGCGCGGTCAAAACTTCGACATCATCCTCTACGACCATGGATTGTACCGTGATATCCCCCGTGATTTGCGTCGCAACTACGCCAAGCTATGGTTGGCGGTCATCGAAGCTGACGAGGCACACATGCGCGAGTATTCCCGCAAGGTGGCGGGCATCACGGACGAGCAGTTCCCTCTCTTCGCCAGCGCAATCACTGGTAGAGACTACACCAAGTTGACCAAGAAGAACATTGCCACCACACGCACAACTGCGGAGAAGGAGAGCATGTCCGGCGCTCTTGGGGAGGGCATGTTGCAGCAGCTGGTCGAACTGCTGGGCCAGGTACCCAGAATCATCCTCCTGATCCTTAAGACCAATGACCTCAGTAAGTGTACCATTGCCACCTGCCCGAGTACAATGGTAAACTAACAACCCGCACAGCCCGCAGCCTCGACGAAAATCTCCACACTAGACAAGGCCCCGTCCGCACATTCTTGATCCTCGCTCGCTACGCCACTCGCACCGTCTTCGAAGAACAAATGGACCTCATCCACGAAACGGGCGGTCTTCTCCGTCCCTTCAACTTCCTTCGCTTCCTCGCTGCTTGGACCGGGTACCTCCGTGTCGAGCTCAAGCTATCGGTCTACGAGACATTGCTGACTCTAAAGAGTCGACTCGGACTACTCTAGTGAACCAGCTTAGACCATCTCTTCTGGGTACGTTGTCAGAAGCAGCACCCTGTAAATTCTTATTTTAGACCTTTTCTTTCTTTCCCACTCGGTTAATGATCGATAGATGAGCAAGGGTTGGCTTATCTGCATCACCGGCGTTTCTTTCCTGGTTATGTGTTTCACAATTGCGGGTGGGCTTTTCTTTTCTTCATTTGGCTGGTTTTGGTTTAAGGACGAAAAGGTCCTATTCTTTGTTTCCTTATAAATATATGTATCAATAGAGATCTCCTGAGCGGATGAATATAGATTGTCAAAAAGTCCAGAGTACGCCAATCCCTCCATATAGATACCGCCGTCTTAGATTGTACAGGGAAATGCGGGTCAATGAGCAATAGAACGATCCAAATTCACTGCACGCAAGTGCTTTTCATTAGACTATTTGACACATCAAGTGGACTATATCACAATGCCTTCCTGCGTTATCACGGACAAGGAAAAAAGAAAAGAAAAAAGCATTTGTGAAGAAGAATAGCAACCTTCAGTAAAGGACTGTACCCAATGCAGTCTGTTGCCGGAATAGAACGACCCATCCAAGCACGCTATTCCATTCTAAAGGTAATTTCAACCTCCCGCTAATAAACCGTAAAACTGTTGAGGGAATCTCATCTGGTATCAACTTGAATTTTTTGTTGGTTTGAATTTTCGATTTTTTGGTACTTTGACTGTGGTGCTTGTTGGTTCGTTAAGCAGTAGCAGCGGCACCCTCGGACTTCTCAATCTCAACCTTGACGTTAGGGATAGAGGCACCGGTACCTCCAAGGTTGGTCGTACGAGCGTTAGGGTTCTTGGTATAGTAGTTGGAAATCGCGGACTTGATGGCGTCCTCAGCAAGCATCGAGCAGTGCAACTTCACGGGGGGCACTAGATTTGGTCAGTATGTTTTCTCCCAGAGGCGAACATGTGTTTGTATAGTATTCTTGAGGTAGGAATGAAGGACAAGCCATTCAATGCAGCAATTGGGGCAGGGTGAACAATGGGACCTAGTTGGGGAACACATTGCGGGATATCTTTCAATGAGAAAGTCGATCCAAAGTCCTTCTAGAATCAATAATGCCCCAAGGCTCCGTGTTCTTCAAGACCGGCAGCTTCGCACATTGGTAACGGAATCTTAGAAGTCGACCATTTACCCAAGATCCACATACGCATGTACGAAACCCCACAAAATCACACTCACGGGAGCACATTGGCTAGCTTGCAAGTTTCGGCATTCGGGCACAATGAACAAACATTGGTTGGGAAAGACGCGTTCAAAGGCAGGGTAATGTAGGGCGAGGAACGATGAATAACTTACAGCCTGGAATGTAAAGTTAGCAAACTGTAGGATAGACGATAATGTATGGTTTCCGTCGGAAAACTTACAAAGTTCACGAGCAATTTCAGTATTCTTGATCTTTCCGGCCTCCTCGAGAGTCATACCGCGCACCAACTCTGTCAGGTAACTCGAACTGGCAATGGCGCTGCCACAGCCAAATGTCTTGAACCTGACGTCGCTGATCACATTCGTATCTTTGTCAACACGAATCTGGAGCTTCATGACATCACCGCAAGCGGGGGCGCCAACAAGACCGGTGGCAACGTCGGCGTCGTTCTTGTTGAAACTGCCAACTTTGGGAGTGTTAGCCTTACTCATGGCGGGGACTACCGCGATAGAAAGAAGCATAAAAAGACAGCCGGGGAACAGTCGGGCGCATCGGATAAAAAGATGTATCGAGCGTTTGTGCATCCCAATCTATCACAGGTCGAATAGCTTCTAATATATGCAAGTCGACGTACCGTTACGGGGGTTGTTATAGTGATCTAACAGTGCATGCAGTCAGTTTCGTTGTCATCCTTTTCTTAAGAAGCAAAGTACGTATCTTTCTCATGATATCCTCTCTTCGTCGCAGGGGCCCGGAGAATGGGCTGGCTTTGGATGCCGGAAAGGGCCGGGGTGATGCGAGGCGACACCACGGTGCCAACGCGGGGAGCGACAGTTGCCAGACGTCTGAACATTTCTGAGGATGTATAACCAATTGCTCGAAGTCGTGCAAAGCGATTCAGATAGTTATGCGGAAAGACCTCCGGTTGTGGGGGATGAAGAATCGATGACCGAGGTAGTGATGGTTGAAGAAAGATTGATCGAACTTCACTGATTGATTAATATGATAAAATGGGCGATGACAAACCCGACCTAAATCACCGGCGCTAGGCCCCTTCCAGCAACCCCGTCGCCTTCGCGGGTCCGGCCTCGGACATGACGTTACCCCCGAGTCGCGCAGAACCAAATGACAGAAGGATTGGTTATCTGATGGAGAGACCCAGCAAATGACCTTTCCTCATGATGAGAACATCGATGCAAGTGGTTGGCCGTCCAAGCCATTTCCCACGGGAAACCGCAGGGGAGTTCCACCGGTGGGAGAACTGGCGGGATGCATTCGTTCTAGTTCGTTTCTAGTATAGAATCCCGGTTTAGGACCGGTATTAGTCCTCCCGATAACCAACGAGGGTCTCGTACAGTCTGAATTACCAAGCGAACAGAACACCCTTTTACCGGCGCGTTGGTGTAATTAATCTCTCTGATCTGGGGGGATTTGCCGCCCTCCATCTGATAAGACCTTCCTCATTCGGTTAGGGAATAACTATCCCCCGACCATTTATCAGCTCATATCAAACTTCCCTTTTCTGTTTGAAAATCCGCAAGCGATAATTCGTGCTATGTACATTAAGATATAAGAAGCGTGGAAATGGCGGGGAAAATCTTTGGTCGATCGTCGGGAGTAAGTTTGATCTTACCCTTTAATGGTATCTGTAAAGGATGCATAAACACCGAGCCTCCTTATCGCCAGTAGTACCATTATCCCCGTAGGTATTATTTCACAGCAATTAACCTCACCAGTCTGTCAACGCCCCCATAGCTGCCTTTTCCATGGCTCTCATCCTCACCACCTACTGCGTCAGCTCCATCCGTACCGCGCGCCGTGAAGCGCAGGCACCAAGCACCGCGACACGTCAGAAATCCGCAGGAGAGAAGACGGAGCAAGTGTCATGGGTTCAGCAGGCACTAGAGGAAAGTCGCGAAGCTGAGCGGAAAGTGTCGAAGTAACGCATATTGTACGGTATGATCAAGAGAGTTGCAGTTAGGGCGTAGTTCTACATGCTGAAGGGGTATGTATATCGCATCTAATATCAATTCTTCTCTCATTGTTCTTGGTATTTGCTAACTAATTAAGCTATCCTATTATTGAGGTAATACTATAGGGTACACTAGTGAAAGGTTAGCAGATGTACAGCCAAATGCTAAGTCAGATTTCGCAGTGATATCCATGATCAGAATTTTCAGTGTATGAAATAGTCCTTTCCAGAGTGTTGACTGGATCTACCATTTATAAAGAAGTATCATCATATCATCGGATAGCAACAGCGGCTTTAGAAATCCCTCTAGACATTATAGAGGGCAAGAGACGCAATTCGAATAGGGTTAAACATTACCTGTAAGGTTTTCGATGTTCATAAGAAGTTAACTGAGGGAGAAGTCGGTGACTGTGGGAGACGTAAAAAAAAGCAGGTAGATCGTTTAATTGCGGCTAGTCCTATTCGGGTGTCAGCAGTAGGATGACTAAGCGTTGGACTTGGTCATGAGTCGTTCTATAGAACTTCCTAATTGAGAAGTCAAATCCAGGTTCCAGGTTTAGCTTATACCTTTGATTTCCACATTTTCTCCAAGCCCTGAGGTGTCTTAGCCCTGCTTGACCAGGAATAATGCGTCTCAGTAGTAGTATAGCGTGATGCTATAGTAAGATGTGCATGGCATTATCTTCAAGACCACCGTGGCTCAGGCAGTGAACAAGTGCGCAATATATACTATCCATGACGCCTTTTTTTTCAATTATTTTGATGAGCCATCATCCACATATGCATAAATAGCCGACCTGCCCCACAGATATTAAATCAACACAATGGCTTCAAAGCCGATAGATTTGAGATTAAAGCACCACAAAAAAGAAAGTCTGAGAAGACAGTTCATTGTGCAAGGGGAGTATTGGGAATATCTAGGGAAGACAACTGCAAAAGGGGTTACCCCATTGCAACAGACTCGACTAGGTAACATTATTCATATCAACCACAGCTCCAATAAGCAAAAAAAGATTGCATCATCCGTGAATCGAACACGGGCCTCATCGATGGCAACGATGAATTCTACCACTAGACCAATGATGCTTGACCAACCAGCGCGTTATCGGACTAATTGCTTGGCATATTTTCCTCCTTTTAACTATATGACCTGAAACAAAAGCTGAAACCTATACTACGTATTCATGAGATTGCATATATGCACGAGAATCACAAAATCCAACAATCAAGTACGCTGCTTTTGTTCCATGAAGCACATCATTGTGCTTTCTAAAACTGATTTATTCATGTGTATACTACTTTGATGTATATGCAAATGTTCATCTCTACTCAAGCTACCAAGTAGATCGCATGATAGGCTTCAATCATAGTCGTCTTCTCTAGTCCATTTTATCTCAAGTACTTCGCTTCACTCAGTATATGCGTATTCTGGCGATAAACACGTAGGTATAGTAACGTATGTACAAGAGCAGTCGTGCAAGTAGTATGCGAAAAATAATTGAACGCTAGTGAATTAACGAAAAAGACAAAAAACGAGGTCTTCTACCAAACACAAACCGGTCATAAGACTGTAGAGATCAGGGAAACCGATTCTTCACATGCCAAAACCTCGATCTACCTTAACACCCTTGAAACCGACTACCCCCGATGCCGAGGAACATATTCGAAGGTAAGACCCTTTATTTTGATGTATGAGGGTAAAGCTTGTAAGAAAAGGAACAAGCACAAGACAGTTCCTTGATGTATCCATTACTAAGAGCGCAAAGCCAAAACGCCAGGGCGCATACAATTAGCTCCCTTGGTAATGGTAGCATTGAGGTTTACAATAGCCTGCAATGCCTCAGAACAACTAGTGATTGGATGTTCAGTCATCATCATATACCAGAAGAGTCTTTAGCTGCTTCTGCCATCTGCTGCTTCAATGCCCCTTCGTGTTGAAGGTGGCTAATCGTTTTCCGTAGATATTCGTATGTAAGCATGGTGGTCATGGCGGCCGGAACAGCACGGAATAGGTTCGTGCCTATTCCTGAGTAAAATGCTCGCCAACCCTCTTCTTTCAAGATAGTCTGACACGTACGAACAACCCCTGTATACCGGGGCCGATTAGGCATGCCATCCGATGAGGCCGCTGTTGGAGGCCTACCACGGCACTCTGGGTGGTCTACTCCCCCGCGGAAGGCTATCTCTTCCGGAGAAGACACAGGAGACGTTCTCTGTTGGGTTTGAAGTCTCGTTCGCAGTACCTCATGCGGATAGGTCACCGTGCTCGCACAGATCTTACTAAGGAATGTTGCCAACGATATCCCAATCCAGTGAGAGGTACCGTTGTCAGGATGTTCCCCGATTCCGTACCCAGTAAATGCCATTTTCAAATATTCATAAAGCGGAAATTGTATGGCAACGTGTGTCAACCCCAACAATGCCGGTGTGAGCCCCGCGTAAAATGACCGAATCCCTTCGGTCTTGTACATCTTGCGAGCCGCATCCCATGTGCCCGAATACCGCCATGGAGCACGGAAGCCCTCGCTATCTGATCTAAGGCTCTGTGACATGAGTCGCGTTTTGATGACCCAAATCGGATTAGTCACGATTGTAGAGCAAGCGCCAGCCGTTATAGAAGCATAACCTCTTGCAAGCCACCAGCTATCTGCTCAGAGCTTTAGTAAAACAGATTCCTGGGATAGATAAGGGGGGAACAAACCGGTGACTCCATGATAATACTCCCGAGATCTATCATAAACCGCCAAGTAAACAGCCCATGTAGGCAAATATCCCAAAATCATGGGGCCTAAACCTTGGTATAGTCCTCGAATACCATCTTCACGCCATATCATCCTTCCAGTACCTAGCATACCTCGGTATAACGCTTTCGCTTCAACTACCTGCCCGCCTCTCCGCACAAACCCGCCTTGGGCTTGTAACTTGGTCTTGATCACATCGAGAGGGCATGTCACGATACCGGACGCTACACCCGCACTGGCACCGCAAAACGGGGCAATATAAAAATCTGGAACGCGGGTAGAGAGTAGTTCGAGGCGAGTTATTAACCCGGAACTCGGCGTGCTTGTAGCGGAAGGCGCATCGAAGCTGGGGGTGGTAGGGCCGTCTGAATGTGTAATCTGCTGCTCTTGGGAGCTGTTGGCAGTCGCCGAAGTGCCGTGTTCTTCTGAAAACATCCTTCTAGCCAGCGCCCTAGCAGTCTATCTATCCGTCTTAATTGTCACGAGGGCTCCCGGACCCGAGCATATCAATGCTCGCTCCGGAACCCAGAATGGTTGGTTGTCCTGCGGAGTGTGAACGTTTTCCGTCTTTGGCAGCGAGCGTTGGAATGGAGGTATCTGGTCCAATGAATTGAGGGGGTCTTGACAAATGACTCGATGCTGAGAAATCCACCTTATGATTGAGCGTGCCCTATCCGAAGCACAGACAGGTGGGGTTTTTGAAGCGACTCAGCTCCCCTACAGGACCACAGGATGAATTTAACGGTTGATGATCCCCATAACCAATTCACAAAGATTGGGGATGATGGATAGGGTTGCAAGTCGAGGGGGAAATGAGTCAATCGAGATTTTCGGAACTGACGGCGAGGACGGAGCAGTACGGAGAATGGTAAATGAGGTGAATCGAAGGAACCTCCTCTGTCGGTCAGGTGGAGTACTATTAAGTTCACCCCGGTCCCAAGCGCTATGCAGTCTGAGCCAAGCCGAGCATTAGTCACGTGCGTAATGATCGGAAGCGTCAAGGTCAGATTGATTGCCTCAGGCATGAAAGATCGGATGTTTTTGGGAAAGTCACCCGCCGAACCTCCGTTTTGCACAATCTCCAACGTCGGGCCAACTCTTGCTCAGCTTGTCTGATATCTCACGACCCCCCTCCTCTCCGCATCATATCAATTGACCCCAGAATACATCCATTTGGGATTATTCATCATGTCCGCCCCCTCTCTCAGCAGCTATATCGTCAAGCGCCCTTGGCTCAAGCGCTGGATGATGCCCATTGCCAATTGGTACACCGACGCCGCCGGCTACAGAAGACTCGGTTTGAAGTAGGCCTCCCTGCCCTCAATCTCCCAAAACAGGCGCCGGCAAATACCGATAGGTCGAAGCGATGGCTCCCAATTGAATGCCTCAATATATCCTATAGCCTCTCTCGGTCCTATCTCGGTCTACGCCTATCCAGGAAACAATTTTCAATAGCTCGACATCAGACGCAGTTTAGCTAATAGAAACAGGGCTGATGACCTGATCCCCGAGGAGAGCGAGGTTGTCCAGACGGCCATCAAGCGCCTTCCCCCTAAGGAGGCTTATGACCGTGTCTTCCGTATCCGCAGGGCTTTCCAGGTTTGTCTCTACTAACTATAATATCTTCCCAACCAGCGGTCTAATGCATACATCAAACAGTGCTCCGTTTCCCACACCCTCCTCCCCGCCAATGAGCAGACCAAGCCTTCTGATGTGAGTTGAATTTCAAGCTTTTTACTTAGCATTTCGCCCTCCCATGCTCCGCAAAGCCTCTCGACCAATCCCGTGAAGCGGATTTGTCAACCGACCTACATCATATATAGGCCACCTCGGACTCCAGATCAGAGGAATCCGAGACTTTCTATGGGGCATTGGAGCAACAAATCGCTGATTGCTATTGCTAGGATGTCGAATACCTGAGCCCCATCATCCGCGAGATCGAGAAGGAGCAGAAGGAGCGTGCGGATCTCGACTCCCTCGTTGTCAAGCGCCGGTAAATACCTTGCTCAGTTCTGCTGATTAGGAAGATTCAAAACCGCGCCATGGTGATAGAGAAGCGGGCTATAGATGAAGACAGGCTTATGTTTCGGTTCGGCTGCAGCGCTTAGTTGCGATGAGCACTCGGCTGAATTTAATTGGTTTTGATACGTCGTTCGATCATGTGTACTGATATTGTACAAATTCATTTGTCGTCATTTTGTTGACTGAATACCTTCAATTGACCATTCAGTCAGTAATGTCTGTGGCCGAGGCTCCACCAGTCGTAGTATCTGAAGCCATGGATCCATATGCCGGGTGTAATCTGATAAGCATTTGGCTTGACGACCACAACCAGCTAGTACGTTTCTGAATGGTTTGTTTCATACCAACAGCAACCTAGGAAAGTACTTCTTTTAGCAGGATACCTGCGGGTTTCCATTTCGTGGTAGTACACACTACCAGGCCGCCCAATATAAATCAACAACGTTATATACTACAAACCAAGGTTTACTCTCCTCTAAGTAGTCAAGACCGCGATATCCACGTTCTCTACTCTCCACATGTACCACATAAATAAACTTCTATCGAGGCCGTGTGAGAACTGGGTTCCATGCGTTTCGCTCTCGGGGCTCAAATCACATACCTATACGGAGCGAATTTCGCAGCTAGCTCTAACATATCCTTCTCTGCCATGTACTTGAACTTACCACCCCCCTTTGCCTTTAATTTACTCACATCTTTCCCTACGAACGCGGCGCATCCCCTTCTATCCCATAGTCAGTAACCATTTGGAGGCAGTCCAGCCATACCCGCATGGACAGAACGCGCAATGACTTACTGCACGCCCAGATCACCGGTCGAGAAGACGTCTATGCGCTTCAACGCAAAGCAAGCAAACATCTCAACCGACCACTTGCCCAAGCCCCGGACAGCCGTCAGCTTCTCGAGAAGTTCTTCGTCGCTCGCATTCAGCAACATTCGGGCACTCAATTCGCCACTTGCGAATTTGTGCGATAGTCCTTGGATATATTCGGCTTTCCGCTGCGAGAGACCGGCAGTCCGCAGTGTCGCGATATCACACTTGATTATCTCTTCGGGTTTCGGGAAACAGTTCGCCTCTCGTGCATTATCTCCACTGTCCTTGCTGTTGAACAATGCGACGAATTTATCCTTGATTGACTTCGCCGCAGCGCCTGATACCTGCTGCCCGATGATGCTAGCCACCAGGCTTCGGAACGGATCGACCTCCTCTGCTAAACCCTCTGGCGAAAAGAGCGGACATGGGTGCTGCTTTATGACCGGCTCCAACCGGGGGTCTGTAGCTATTAGGTGAGCGACAGCTTTCTCGAGAAGCGTACCGGTCGTGGCTGTTGGGCGTGGTCGGCCGGTTTTGCTAGGCGAGGCATTCTCAGTACCGGGCGGGTAGGCAACCAGAGAAGAACCGTGGGGTGTTAGAAGGGTCGCATTTGTTCTGTGAGGTTCAACGGGACGGTCAAGAGGAGGGGGCGTAGAGTGTAGCCTGCTAATACTACGATCAGTGGGTGAAGGGTCGAAAATGTTATTGGGCTTTTCTTGTTTGGCCGTGTCGGCGTCTGCTGTTTTGCTCGGAGGTGGGTTCTCAAAAGTCCGTTCTAGATTCAAGCCCGCTGTTTTCTTTCCTTTTGCAGGTGGCTTTCGTGCTTTGGTGACGCCGTTGGTTTGCTGGGCTTTGCTAGTCTTCTTTGTTTGGATGGCCGGTTGTAAGCTGTTGGTCACGGCGCTTAAGCGTGCAGAGCGCCGGAGGGCCATTGTATATTCCTGTATAGCTCTATATATGATTTCCGATTCAGAAATAATCTTGGTGCTCTGTATCTCGAATGTAATTAACTCAGTGGTCTTTGGAAAGCTTGCGTTGGAGTTATTGTTAGTGGATGTCGCGGTGAGAACTCGGGATATGTCATCAATCACGGGGCTCGTATTTCCCACTGCAAGTAGTAACCTTTGAAAATGTTGATAGTATGTGTTTATTTGATATAGTTTATAGATATTAAGGAATGAAACTACTTGAAGGCAGTGAACGCAAGATTGGGATGTTAGGCGTGCTCCGTATATTTTGTGAGGTGGGTCCCAGCTACTGTGTTTCCCCTATACATGGGCTACGGTTACTTGAGTGCATATCACTATTTTGGCAAGTTAACATGAGGTAAATAATAATGGGGGTATCTCCAGCGGTCATTCTTATGGCAGTGCTAACGCATGCTTATAAGTATAGCTAGTCTATCTTCTGGTATGGTAATGTGTCATCTTTAGCCTGGGAACATACTAGTATCTTTCATATATATACTTCGTGGCTGGAGTACGACTCCGGAGTACTCGAGCCATCCAAGCTGAATACCGAGTATCATCTAGAATCTCCAGAGTACAGCATGTACACGGTCAAGTCTCACTACAGAACAGTCCAGTTGGTGATACCGAGCAATATATCACTATTGTTCCTTGCCTTTGCCCTTACAGTGGCCCAGTTATATAGAGAAGACAATAGAGACGTATCATCTCAATATCGGCAAAAGTAGTATTTCTTTCTCTGTGTTCCTTCTGAATAAAATGAAATCCGAATATACAGAAATCTCGTCCACAAACATCCAAGAAAAAGTCACACGAAAGAATGTGCTTGCGTCATCTCGACGTTAATTAATGCTCAAGCGAACCGAAGCCGTCAATAAACTTGATTATCCACATCAGCTGCTAGTGTAATACTGCTGCCCGTTGTATATTGAATTACTGTGGTACTCGGCAGTACGTAGCCTTAAGATACCTATCGATACGGCTGTACAGTGTATACAGTACCAAGAGGGACAACTGCTCCATATTATCTCAGTTGGTAACTAGGGTCAATACATCGGCCCTTGGCCGAAGGATATGGGCTTGGCCGGACATTGCAATTAGCCGTCTAATATTAGAAACGCATAGAACAAATACACCATATACAGAGCTTTATTATGCGTTTGAGTTGCTCTCGGACTTTGTTTTCAGTCCGATCCTAGCGGTACCAGTCATCTTTCTCGAACGCAACAATGACCAATAGTGATCGGTAGCGACTAACGAGCTGATATGATCATGTATGAGTTGTTCAAAAAGCTTAAGTTAAGTGGTGCCAAGCTGACAGGCAGGGTTTCTGATATGATGAATGTTGGAGCGGAACCCAAAGCCGCTGCTGCATATTCCTGGTGGTTAAGGTCGCACTGATGTTGTCTAATGGCCCCCTACTCGAGTTGCACGGCGTCCTGTAATCCTCAGGCTAATAGCGTCTCTATGTTCTGTTTCGCATGTAACTCCGTGATGTATCTGAAATTATGAATATGGCGATCGTTCATTCATCCTCAGCCACTTCTGGCTATTTCCGGTGCGCACTTGTTTCATCCATTGAGAGCAGTCATACGAACTAACGTCCTCGGGGCACTGGGGCGTTAGGTAGTGTTTAGCCACCCGTCCAGTGGCGTCCTCGAAGAACGTGGTGGCGGGAAGGTACAGGTAAGATTTGTTTTGAGTATTGGTGTATTACAAAGCGTGACAAGGGGAGGTATTATATGCACTACTCTGTTTAAGATCAAGCCTGGCATTAGTTAGATATTGAGCCAATTGATTGATAAATGAATGCACAAGTGCATGTAAATAGTGAACACTGTCTTGATTTCCTGCAATCATAATACCCTGTTCCAAATTCACGGAGTGCCTTTTAGGTACCTCCTACCAAGGTAATTCTCGGCGATAGTGGTTTACTAAGAGGTGGAATAGCCCTAAACACCCACTACCCATTTGCCCCATCCATGGAACATACGGAGTACTTTTCGGGGCCTTCTCTGGCTCTATAGTCTGCATGAACGAGAGGGGCAGATAGAGATATAGCCGCCAGGGTGTTGTAACGAGACTACGTGTGGTCTATAGTTTATGGGAGGATTGGGATTCAGACACTATGGAGAGCATTTGAAAGCGGTGCGCTCATCGTCGAAGATGATGGTAGTTTCCATCAGATACAGAAGAGAGAGGTGGAATATCAACTAGTGCTATGTGACCCCTCTCATCAATATTGTATATTGTAGATAGAGCCAGTCCTTATCCCATAGCAGTCCGAAGCAAGCTCAATGGAGTCATACGGGATAGAGTCATTTCATATCGATAAGCAAACTCAGCGGAAAACCCATCTAAATCCTGGGCCCGGTATCACTAAATGTAGGTGTGGATCTGCTCTGACTGTGAGAAGGCTAGCAAGCTCTTGCATAGACTATACGTGACTTTGGGAAGGCGCAAGATAGCATGTCGAATGTTGTAGAAAACAAAGAACAATGCAGGTGGGTTACTTCGATCTACACTCTCGATACTTGATATATATTGGGATTGAAGCTGCTACCGCGCCATTCCAAATCCCCTGGAAGGTATATGTAAAACATAGAAGTCACTTGAAACCCTTTCCTATGGACAGATTGGCGAGCAGTCATTGAAAGGATCAGACGGAAGTGTACTCCGTAGACAAATGTTGAAAAATAATAATGATAATAACTTAAGCTCTGGCTACATGTGACAGACGGACAATTTGATTGGCCTACCATTAGGCTATCTCAGGAAGCGTGTCACAAGGCACGAGGTTGCCGCAGGTATGTAGATCGAAGGCTTCAATAGATTGACCTCAATACAGGAGAGAATCCCCTTTGAACCTAAGGTATATCCGCTCTAGAGGAAACGTGAAAGCCGATCGGCTGTTGCGATTAGGGGATTGTCCGAGTTACCTACTAGTAGAAGCCGACTTTGCCCGAGCTTGGTAATTGTGACGACCAGGGTGAGGACGGGAAAGCTGATACTATGAGATATGGATGGACATGATTCACTCTAGCACTTACATAAGATATCCTTGTGCCGTCGCCGCTCTCATCTGAAGCATACGTACCCTTGATATGCTTTCGGTTCTTTCTCTGTTTTTCGAATATATACGACGATCAAGCCAGGGTTCACATTGAAGCATTACGTGGACGAGTTTAATGGGTTTGAAGGCACCAAGTGCATCAGGCTTGTATATCTAGGTGTAACATGCCAAGGATATGGAATTGTAATGACTTTGTACTCTGTATGGTTAAGGTGGAAACGCCACGGTTTGGAATGTACTGTCAAACACCAAGCAAAAGCCATTTTCTACGATGTAATGCATGACTGTGAGATGGGAAGGGAACTTGAAGCTAGAAGATAGGGTACATTACGAAATAGTACTTTCGAAATACTCCATGCGGCGATACCAGGTCGCGGAAGGAGCGATTGTTACGACGGCTAGCTGTGGAGTTGGATGGGCCATGGCCGATAGTGGAGTGAAGGGTGAGAACCCTAAACCGATCGCGACGAGAAAAGTAAGCAATCAGCTTGCATTCTTTCTAACAAAGGCTGGTTGATGAAGAAGGAAAAGGATCGATCTGCCAAGCTGCTGCCGTTGATTTTCCCAATTATTGTAAACAACTAAACAACTGGAACATTCCTCAAAATGGCTTTGTATCTGGGGGACGACCGGATTCTGTATAGAGACGGCTCTGTTTACGTCCATATTCGAATGATTCGTGGTCGATCTTACCTTGATCTTCATATTATTTTCGATTTCTGGAGTGAGAGTGAGAATTCGCCACAGCAGTATAGTCAGCGTCAAGCATAGAGTCTAGAAGACGTCTTTGTTGGTTTGTGCAGATTAAACTGAGTCGGGTTGCCCCGTTGTGCGGTAAGATCGCAATTACAGGAGCTTAGTATGGGTCCCACTAGCTTCATTAGCATCCGACCAAGTGGGCCAGAGCTGAGGTATGGAAATTACAGCCGTCGTTGTATTCTTCGACACGTGATGATGACTATCCATTGGACGTTCCAGCCGTGGTTTCGCCACTCGACTCACCTATTCTTATCATCCATTGGTAAACGGTTGACCTATAATTACCCACTTTACCCATGGTACCTGACCCTTCTGGCTCAGCCAAAACATGGGCCAAGAAACAAAAGAAAAATCGAACCGTGGAATCGGTCACATTGAGTTTTACGGAGTAGATCGAGTTATCGTCAACATGGAAGTAAAGCGATTACTAGTAGTTAGGTGACCCATGAGTATAAAATGAGATGGCGGCCAGAAGAATGTAAGTAAACGGCAGTGAACCAACTTGACATGACAAGAATGAAGATTCTGACAGCCACATATGAATGGGCATGTCAGCATGAGGCCAGAGTTGGTCGCCGACCACTTGGGTAGGCGACTCTCCATTCCAGTTGTCTGTTCGCAATGGCTCTCAAACCAGAAATGGAAAAGGAAGCGGGTCCCACTAGATTCCAGCAAATTCAGATCGGCCACGGCAGGCTTGATTTACCCTCAATTAATGAATTTGTCTAACGTTAATAGCATTCAAGGGACTCTGAGAAATGAAGGAATGACATTTGCTCCTAAATATGGTATGAATTGGGGGCGGCCGTAGCAAATAGTTTCGGTTTGGAATGGGGTGATCAGGCTTAATCACTTCATTGCCTAGGTAGATGCTGGAGTGAGTGGTAGTGATACTCCGGACGAAGCTGCATGCAAATCCATGATATCCAGGTACTCGTAATCTGTCTGAGTCTGGCCCCTTCTAGCGCCAATACAGAGTACAAATAGTACTTTATAGGTATTCTGTACTGGAAGGGGAATTGACTGTCAATCTGCATTATTGTTAATGAATGATCACCATGATGATCTTGATAGTCGTATCTATAGTATATACTTCAATACTGAGGATATCCGTTCAAATAGAGTCACTCCACTATGAGATCAGGGAAAAATTTTTCTTGTCTTGCCCTTTGTTTTGAGACAGTATTTTGTTGCATACCAACTTGTCTTACACTTCGTACAAAGGTTGTACATAATACACAATACTCGATACCAAGATACCGTTTGTAGTATTATCGATGTATTAACATTGATAATTTAGTACGAAATGATAGGACGACAGGAGAGCAGAAAGGTAGATATCCCAAATTGTACGCAATGCATAGATATCCGCAAGGACGATATTATATCCTGTGTAGGCACTTTTCCGATCATTATTTTGGTTTTTATTATGATTATTGTTATTTCGGCTACAGTAGTATTGTACCGACGGGGATCCAGGTACGCAGCGGAGGAGTGGGGCGGACTAGACAATAATTTGGTATGAATGGTCAATGGCGATGGGGAAGGGAAGACTCCGATAGCGAATCAGAATTGGACCTGAATCTTGGTGATTGGAAAGGTGCGACACGATAGGGGAAACTCAGCAGCAACAACGGGCTCATTCCCGGTCTGAGGAAAGAAAAAAAACAGGAATTTCCCCTCTTGCTAGCAATGCATCCGGTAATAATGTTCTCCAATGCGAAACAAAAAAGAGGGTTCAAAAATAAAAAAGAATGGATTACCGTGGTGATACACGTACTAGTAACGTAATTAATTTTTGGCCATAGCAAGGAGGGACCCCCCCGGTCTCAGGTCCACCGTCCTCGGGCCACGACGACTCCTTTCTTGCGCTCCTGGAAAGCCAATCCTTCCTTCCCTCTTCTGACGCTTTTCTTCGCCATCCCAGTCTCTCTTTCTCTTCCTCTCCTTTCTTCTCTTTTCTGTTAAGACGTGCCTACCAAATCTGTGCACATCCTTTCGCTGAGGAATCATCATCAACCAGCTTCTCTTTCGTTGAAGCTCTATCTTTCTTCCACTCGTTTATTTATCTTGGAATCCCACCCCTCTTTCAACTCTTCGCGACTTTGCGCTACTGTTATCTGGTAAGGGCTAAACATCGCCCCTCATACTCAAGTAGTCCACAAGATTATTAGTAAGTGAAGGCTTCCATTATCTATTCAATACTCAGACAATCTTTCAATGTGTTCCACTTGGGTATACCGATACCTGAGACTGCGTGCGCGACTAAACCCTGGTTGCCTGTTTGAAGAAAGTTCTTGATCGTGCCCAACGTACTGACACCATCTCCAATAGAAGGAATCGCATAACAATGTTCATCAAATACGCTCTTCCCGCCCTGGTTGCGGCCCAGGCTGCCTTTGCTGCTAGCGACAGTAAGTGAAGAATAGCGCACAGAAACAAGATTCAAAACCAATGACTAACCATGGACATAGACTGCGGCAAGGGTGACACCATTAAGATCGAGAACCAGAGCGATGCCGACGGCTACTCTAGCTGTAGCACCCTTAAGGGAGATGTTGAGGTCTCCGGAAAATACACCGGCGATCTTCAACTCAATGGAATCAAGCAGATCTCCGGTTCGCTCAGCTGCGATGGTGCTTCCAACATGACCGGCTTCTCTGCTTCTTCGTTGAACTCCATTGGCGACACCTTCAAGCTGACCGGTCTTACCACCCTGACTACCCTCAGCTTCGGCTCGCTCACCAAGGTTGGCTCGATCGAATTTACTGCTCTGCCTCAGCTCCAGAGCCTGGACTTCACCAAGGGTGTTACGGAAGCCGGTAGTGTCGTCATTACCAACACTGGTTTGAGCAGCCTTAACGGTATTTCGCTTGAGACCGTCGGCGGCTTCGATATCACTGAGAACACCAACCTGAAGACCGTCAACGTCAACAACCTGAAGAACGCTACTGCTCTCATCAACTTCGCTGGTAACATGGACGGTCTCGAGATTGAATTCCCCAACCTTGGTACTGGTCAGAACATGACCTTCCGTAACGTCAGCTCGGTTTCCGTCCCCTCTTTGGAGAAGCTCAAGGGCCAGCTCGGCTTCTGGGGTAACAAGTTCCAGTCGTTCAGTGCTCCTAACCTTACCGAGACCAGCGACTTGATCTTCAACGACAACAGCAAGCTCAGCAACATCAGCATGCCCGTGCTCAAGACTGTCAACGGTGGCTTCCAGATTGCCCGCAGTGACAAGCTTAACACCATTGACTTCCCCAAGCTTGAGACTGTCACCGGTGCTATTGATTTCAGCGGTGAATTCAACGAGTAAGTTTGGAAACTTGCAATGCCATGAAAAATCTGAAAATTCGTTCTAACGATATCTTTTAGGGCCCACCTTGACTCCCTTAAGTTGGTTCGTGGTGACTTCAACATGCAGAGCACTGGTAACATCAGCTGCACTACCTTTGACAAGATGGCCAAGAACCGCGAGGTCATCAAGGGCACGGAAACCTGCAAGACCACCGAGAACCCCGAGACCCGTGATGGCAAGTCTGGCTCTACCACTTCCACTGGCAAGGCTTCTGCCACCTCTACCGGTGCTGCCTCTGCTCTCGATGTGTCTTCCATGCCTGCCATGGGCTTGGCCGCCGTCTTCGGTGCCCTTGTCCAGTACGCTCTGTAAAGGACTCCTCGATACCAAACCGTTGTGCACTTTGTTATTTCTTTGATCGGACTCCACTTACTACCGTGTAGAGTTGCTTAATAGGCAATGGGTATATTGATTCCTGTGCTTGGTTTTTATGACTATAATTGAACTTTGTTTGAGCAAATTCGCAGTCTGGTTTGTCGCTCTCAGTGGATATCTGAAACTGCCAGCTGATGCACCAGCTTTTTTTTTTGTCTCACTTTGTATGAAATTGCAATTGGTGGTTAATATGTCTGAAGCCGCTCACTCGTGTCGGTCTCGAGGCAAGCCAGCGTGCTTGATATCAGTAATTACGTGCGGGCCACACGCTTTGTTGAAGACAGGCGTCTAAAGTCTTGTTTTATAGCGCTCCTTTTCAGATGATGTATTTGTGTCATAAACGTTTTTATTCTTTGGCCACTTCCAGGACAGTTTGTGCTGTAGGTAAGATTGTGAATGACTTTCGTAAATCAATAACTCTTTGGTTGTAGGGAGCTATCTTCCTGCAGGCATGTAGTAGTAATCGGAGTTGCACTAGAGTCTCTGGCATGAAAAACAGAAAGATGCAGGTCAAGCATGGCAGCTCCCCTTCCGACCGATACTGTACTGCACCTATCGCAACCGAGGCGGTTCTGAGATCGTGCACGATTCAGCCAACGGAGATGGATCTCAGAACGGGACGCGTTATCTCCAGGAGCATTTAGCACACAGCGGCCCGTGGGAGGGTATGTGCTTCGTACAGGTGTGCCTACATGGGTTCCTTCTCCAACAAAAAATGTTCTTCAATGGATGCAGACAAATTGACGAGTCATTTCGCACGGTGGGTGTTCTCCTTCTACAGCTTCATGCGGAAAGAGTCCTGCAATCACCTCCCGTCAGGATGTCCCTGTTAAGGTTTTACCTTTGACAAATCGTGACCAGAACGGCACCTCTCTACTTGAATATTCGGTATCATGGTATTAATATCCTATCTTAAGGGGTGGCTGAGCTGTTCCACTTCGACAGAGAACGATGATCCGCCTCTGTCGATCCGATATAGTTTCAATTGACAGATCTATATCTGTTGCATTCCACCCCTCCCTTGCAAATAAACACCAATATGCACCATTGTGGGGACCAGGCAGAGTGAGTGAAGAGGAGTGGGAAGTCAACAAAGGGAGATAGATGAATACCCACCCGGGAAGCAAAAAGTAGATAGATGGAAACTAGGGTGCAAGAAATTTAAGGTGCCGGAAATCGACCCGTGCTGGTGGGCTCTAATGTTTAAATATTGGAGATAGAGAGAGAGAGAGTTCCCAGGACAAGATAACCACCACGAAAACAAGAAAGTGATGGATAGTCTGCGTAATTATTAGGTCTGAGGCCGATAGATACTGGGGACTCGTGGACCTGATCGTGTATCTACTATCTGGTGTGACCGGAACAAAATTCCTAGGTTTCGACCATGTGGAAGAGAGAGGGAGGGTCGAGCCGCGGGTTCCTTTCCCTTCTCTCTCTCTCTCTCTCTTGACTCTTATGCATGTCTATTCTGGTATTATGATTATGATTATGATTATTATCTATGTTTTATGTGATTGTTCGTCTAACCTCCCTACGTCTTATTTCCCGTTGGTGTGGATATTGTGGGAAGTTCCCTCTCGGCTTGGGTACTTTTGTCCCAGATGGACAGGTAGCTCTGCCCGGCACACTTTGGGAAATGTGGATAAAAGGAGACTATTCTGTTTATGTACGGGTTGACATTGCGTTTTTACGTTCAATGGAGCATGGGGTTTGCAGTGGATATCTTGCCCTTTCCGAGTAAGCAGTGGCTGTTCATTGAGTTTCCCTCCCGATCCCCGTGAATGACTGTATCTCTCTCCCTTCGGTGATAGACAGGATAAGATGGGGACCTGAGTTTTTGACAACCGGGATTTGCTGGGGCTGTCTTTTTTTTTTTTTTTTTTTTTTTTTCCCCCGGCATTTCGACAAGTGAGGAAGCCCTGTATTTATTGGAATTGGGTACCGACGAGTGAAAGCATTATGGAACCCAGGAAAGAAATAGAAACTGGGACCCGAAAGCTTGGTCGATTTGGAATGCGGTGGGCTTGATATGATAGATACAATTGCCCATGCCTTGCAGCTTTGATGCGATACTACCTGCCGCTTCTGGCGGCGGTATGCCTCAGGTTTTGTTTTGTTTTGTTTTGTTTTGTTTTGTTTTCTTTTTTTTTTCTCTCTTTCTTTTCTAGGCTAGGGTTTAGTCGGGAGAGCTAATGTAAGGTGGTTAACTGTCTGTTCTTCGGCGTGTTGGTCAAATTGGCTGTGCTTGGCCTTGAGAGACCGGTTCTACGTGGTGTTGGACGGTGCTGTATCTGGTACGCTACGCTGCTCGGTCGTCCTGGAGCATGCGTTGGTTTGGTCTAGTGTCGTAGTAGGCAGGTAGGAAGGAAGGTTTTGGGCTTCGTGGACTCGGTGGCAATAATGGTCAATGTGGATGAATACCTTGCTATCGTCATACAAAGAATACGACTTGGCTTGTCTGCGCGCTGTTCAGCAGACGTAGGTGATCCTTGCAGGAGTGGATAATGGACCACTGTCTCTGTATGTGCGTAATAGAGAATACAAGGAAAAAGGGAAAGAGGCACTGCATGCATATATCAAAGAAAGGTTGGATGTAGGTACGCACATATGCTAATAATATTATGCCGGCGGCAATAAACTATTGGGAGGGGACCAGAGCCACAACCTGAAACACGAGCACGAGTCGATTAACTTAGACATCGAATCTCGCCCCCAGTCCGGTAGAGAAATGCCTTCGTGGCCACCTCCCAGCGAATGGATGAGACTTGATACATGTTGTCCCCATTTGCGCAGGGTTAGCCCTGGTGAGGGATATCCCCTGTTCTGAGGGTAGCAGTTGTATGCATGTAGTAATGATGCAGGTTCGTTAATGTATGTATGGGTGTGCGCTGTGAAACCGGTAGGAGGCGTTGAGTGTCTGTGTGGTTGATAGGTTGGTCTGTGGTGGGTAGGGCTTCTGGGGCCAATGTGATGTATCAGATTGTTTGAGATTGTTCGAGTTACCGTGGCGAGAGTTGGGGGTTCCCGTTGAGGCGTTTTTGTCGTGACGTCCATTTATTTATGACTTACTCTTTTGGGGGAGGGTTTGATAATAATTATTATTATTAACCTTTCGCCTCAGGGTGGCAAATGTGTAGATTGAGTGTTCGCAATTGAAGGATTCCATTTGACCGTGGTCGGTGATGTTGATCGTGCCCTAAGGCGAGGCAGCTAGTCGGTACTAATAAGATTGGTGCTATTGCACTGACCCCCGCCGGATATCCTGCCGTGTAACACCACCAACACAATAGCTCGACCTTATGAAGTAACCAGGAGCGTGCATCAGAATCCTCAATCGCACATCGCAGTCCGAATGACTGGAGTCAAATGTGCAAACCCGTTGGTGTGGATGAGATCCGAGAGAGAACTTCCCAAGGGAAGGGGAGCCCTTGCAACTGGAGGATGGCCGATTAAGGTTCAAACCTCACACGTCCCCCTCTCATCGATTCCTGCTCCCACAGGCCGGGTCACCAATAACAGGCCGGATGATGGAGTATCGACTCTTCCAGACCATGGGATATCGGAAAATAGATGAGGAATTGACCAAACCCCAGGCCACTCGGACAATTTCGGTGGTATCGTGAAGGTTCTATGTAGGTACACATGACTGGTTCTGGGATGGACATGGTTGGAGAGGACCCCAACTTGCAAAAAAGGTACGTATGCGATGTATGTCCTTAGCTACATGCATACAGACGTCTGTGTGTGTGTACGTGATGGTCCTTTTTTTTGAGTTTCGAAAAGAGTTCGTGCCTGGGTGACGAGTACGTGCCAGGTTGAGTTTCTTGGTTCAAACAGGGGTTCATCATGGTGTGCTCGTCTTGATTCTGACCTCTGTCACGGCTGTCTTCAAGAATTGGATACATAGATGGAGGTATTGCCAACTCATCAAGCTAAGGGAACCGGGGCACCCCTAGTCCTGAATTTCGTGTATAGTGGTGCTTAATTAAAAGCCCTTGTGGGTTGGCTGCTAACGTTCAGAGTCAGTCTAAAGCGAAACTCCCCCAATCGGGTAAAGAAACGAATCATCCACCATCGTAACGGGGAAAACGGGTGCAAAGTGGGAAAAAAAAAATAACACGGGACTGCTATATCCAGTGTCAATCCGGGAATGACCAAGACCAATCTTTGGGTACTCATAGGCTATAGCCTCATGGCTCCCAAGGGATGCGCGAGTACGGAACGTGGGGCTAGCTGAGAGAAAGAACACTTGCTAGATGCATGAGGCCCACTGAATTCTTCATCCTCACCCGTCGATCCCTAGATTTTCGAATATGACAGATCTTATCCGGGCTGCCACGAGACCCACCACTAACCATCCTAACGGGGTCAAAACAGTCCACACATCATCTGGGCTGTTACGCTTGTTTGTACTGTTTGAATTTGATCTCCATATGCCTGCCGTATTTGGGTCGTCCGCTTCTCTTCCTCTCCACCGAAGTACTCCGTCCCCGGGCTCTGCCTCAAGGTTCCCGGGTAGGGATGATGGACGGCCAAGCCGCCGACCTCATGGGCTAATGACCAGCATAATAATCCTAGCATTGCGAATCTCCTTCACGGAGCGATTACACTGGGTAACCCCTCCACCCTGGCCTGTGGGGTGGATCTCATGAAGCTCCTCGAGCGATCTGAATCCGTCACTCCCGTTGGAGACGTCATCCAACAACCAATTCCAAATCACTAGGCTCAGTTGCAGGTGACAGCCTTAAACACAGTATTAACCAAAATCAGAAAAAAAGAGTCCAGAACTAATAATCGTTGGGTCTGACAGCCGTCAGATCCTGGTCACTGGGATTTCCCGGTGACCCAAGTGTATGGGTCTGTCTCGGGGGCTGTGACGATCAGAAACTCTGTGTTTTGACCCCCTTCCTCCATGAAAGCTAGGAAAGTAGCGTCCCGGCCGCATTCGGCTATACTCGCTGATGATGTGGATTCTGATGCGATGGCGTCGAGATCCAGTATTGGTCGATGTGGTCATGTTAAACATTCAACGTCTGGTAGGCACCGACTCCTCACAGAGGATGTCTCAGGTACCTCTTGATGTGTGGATGATTTTCTCTCTGCCCCAGAATCCTTGCTTCGTGCTATCTGGCCCTGAACACCTCCTGCGGAGGAAGGATTTACCTCGGGGAACCTGCGTCCGCCTGTGCGTCGGATGTTAATGTATGGTTCATTATCATGGTGCGTCAAGGTGCTCCATTGGTATTTTTGTCCATCTTTCGAATATTCTAGGTCCCTCACTGTGTGCCACACTAGACAGGGGAGTCGGGATGGAACCCTGCTGCAAGATGACTGGATGTAGATACATTGTAAATCGAGAACGGAGGACTCCATCGCTTGGGCGATCGAACCCACCCAGAGGCCAGGTGTTCCCCTGGTCTCATCATGGCTGTTGCTGCAACTCGCGCATGTCCGATCTGAGCTGCTTGTAGATGATGCTCACGATCTAGAATAGCTGGTAGCATCCTGGGTCCCCCCAGGGATTTCTCCGAACCTATGTCTTGGACATCTATCGGACAAGCACCGGAACCAGTTCCGCAACAGCCACAATGCCTGCGCATGGCTGCAGACAATGGGCACTATTTTTACTTAATCCTCACGGGTCTCCAGATTTGGGAAGGGTAGGGAAGGAATACGATGCTCTCCTAGGTAGATTAAGAGGAGACACAACCGGATGGTTGACGGCCATTGGCCCAGATGGACTATTGAAGAGGTCGAAGCAAGGGGATTCGATGCATTTACCTTCTATGGCCCGTGTAGATCGAATTCAAACCATTGCATTGGTGACAAATCAAGGGCCGTGAATACGTTCTATTCAAAATGAGGGCCTCGCGATCATAGCACGTTGATTCGTCGATCGTCTCGGCCTCGCGTCTGTGCCCATTTTGTGACAGAGATTCGGACGAGTCTCTCCCAGAAGGACACTAAATGGGGTCTGTTGAACTTTGCGGAAGGTTGAGGCTACTTCCCCGCGGCCTCATGGAGACCGGAAGGGATGAAGTGGGCTGCAGATACACACATGTAAGTAGTAGGAGTTTACTGGCGTCTCTTACGGACAGGAGGCTCGATGATGCCCTAACTTTCGACCTCTATCGGGGATCCGGACATGCAATACCGGACTGTAGGGGGGAACAAAATCGTATTATTATTGTTACTATGAATTATTTATTTCATGTAATATGTATATTTATTTCTGGATTTATTTATTTATTTTTTTTTTTTTCTGTCTTTTATATGCATATACAAAAAATATTAATAATAATATTTGAAAAAATAAAGAAGGGACGAAGAAAATGGAAAATAGTCCCTAGTTTTCTATTATAGGAGATCAGAGCATTACTTCAGAACAGGAACAATAATAACAACAGACTAATAACAAGATCTATTATTATTTTAGAATTATTTGTAAAAGCAAAAACCCAAATAATACTATTGATCGAAAAGAGAGATCTGTATGTCATTGTCGGAAAGTACATCCACACCCTAATCAAAATCCACTTCCCTATCGAGATGAGCGCAGATCTTCAACATGATACATCTCCATCTTCACTCTATCGATTGCTGCAGTGCTCCATGGAGCCCTGAGCGCCGCCACAATCCATTCTCGCCCCCCTCTCCCCTGCTACTTTGGGTTATTGAGATCCATTTCGCTCCTCGTTCACCAGCTGCAAAGATATAAAACATGCAGCGGATCGCACCGTACCCTTCGGGAAGCATTCTGTTCTTCATCTTGTCTATACCTCGTGGATCAGCCTGACTACTCTCTCGTCTGATCCCTTCTTGCTCTCCCATAGCAACAGGCCTCCCTTGATTGTTTCATCACCAGCCCTTACTTCGTGCCTTTGACCTCAAGACTAATTTATTATCAACTCTCTTTCCCGCTCTGAAACCCTCGTCGATCTATCCTCCCCAGAGACATTTGTTTATATCAATCTCAGACATCCGCACATATCGACGCATCGTACATATCGGCATCTCACCGGGTCATCCACTCTACTAAGACATACATATCCTCCCGCTGCACCTCACCTTATCTCCAAACTTTAGGCAACCGCAGCTGCCATGTTTGAAGATATGAGTTCCATGACTGATGACATCTCACGGCGCTGCTCCCTCCCGTAAGATATGACTGTCACTATTGCTGGACGCATAACTAACATGGCCTCCCAGAAGCGTCCGTTCTATCGCCAACGCTCCTAGTAACGCAACAGAAATGACCGACGACCGTCGGCTACCACCCCTGCCCCGCGTAGACCCATTGCCTCGCGGGCCCTTCAACCCTTTGGCCTCCAAGATCTTTGCTCCTAGCCCTCCCAGCTCCCAAGAATCGTTCCCCGTCAAGTCACCATGGCCGGCATCCGAACACATTGTTACGCCCCCTTCGCCTGCCAATTCAGCCGATAGCTCATGGCCCGAGTCTCAGAAGATGTTTGAATGGCCCCAGGATCTTTCTTCCGCCGACCTTGTGAACTTGATCGCCCCAAAGCATATTAACCGCAAGCCTCCACTGCAGCAACTGTGTGGCCGCAAGCGTAAGGGGAGCATGATCACGGGCGAGTGTGACGACCAGAGGGAGAAGCACCGCATTGCAGAGGGCAACCGACGAAAGAACTTGAGCCAGCTGCACCGTGAGCTCGACAGTCGTATTCATGACTTCTTCCTTGAACGGGCCGGGTGGAATCCATCCAAGAGTCTTCCCGAGTCGAAGGAGCACATCGTGCAGGGGGCCATTTTCCTCATCGATTTCATGCTTCTGATCATTGTCCACCTGATTCGCCAGGAAAATGAGATGCCTCGCCAGCTGTCTGAGAAGCTTCAACCTCAAATCCGGTGCATGCAACTTCAGCAGTTGATCGCCAACCTCCAGCAGCAGAACCAGTCCGCTCAGCAACAGATCAAGTCTTTGAAGCAAGAAAACCAGCTATTGGAGGAGCGTAACCAAGCGCTTGAGCTCCAGCTGAAGTCCTATGAACACATGTTCCGGTCGCCCAAGACCGAACAGCCAAGCCCCCAGTCTCTTGTCCAGCTTTCCGATTCCAGGCCGCGCAACATGCTGCCTGGCCTGCGTGTCTTCTGCGACGAGATCGCCGTGAATGGCACAGAGGCCTCCCGCTTCGACCCGCCACACACCGGGTCTTCCCAATCCTTTTCGCAGAGCTTCCTTAGCCATTCACCCCCAGTGACCGGGCCTTCGTCGCCCGTCTTCACACAATCGACTTTTTCGGTTCCCGCATCGCGGCGCCAGTCCATGATTCCATCCCCGTGAGATGGTGGCTGGACATGTTGCCTCAAACACAGAACCCCTGCTTGGCCTTGTAATGAATTTCCTTGTCCTTGGGCATAGAGTTGTGATTTGGAGTCGATTCTGCTGTTTTCATTGTGTTTTTCTCGCATAGCGTGGCATTGTACCATTTGATTTTCCATCAGGACGGATTACTTACACCGGGATGTCTTGCTCAGGGCCATTGTCTTCTTGTTTTCACTGGATCCTGGCGAACTGGAGCAAGTGTGGTGTACATTAAAAATTGGGTCAGGGATTGAGAGTTGCCCGGATTTCTTTTCCTTTTTTTTTTTTCCCTCGTGTTGAGATATATAATTTCTTTCCTTTGTCCATATTGGGATTGGTGATCTTTATCTTTTGGTTCCCTGGGGGGTTTTCGGAGTGCACGGGGAGTTTTCTTCCCTCAATATCTATACAAAGATATATGTACGGTTGATTTCGGTTGATTTTCCAATGTTTTCCTTTTTGTATGTATCCATGTCCTCTTTAAAGCGAACACGAACATAGAGCGAATGTGGTTGAATAAATTATTATTATTACTATTCTTCTTCTTCTCACTATCATTAAGACTCCGTTCGCATGGAATGGAAAACCCCTGATCCAATTGATCCAAGTCCCAAAGGCGGACGAATTGCACGGGTCCCATTGGCCGCGCGTGTGCCAAGAAGACAAAGACCTTTTCGTCGGAATGCCGAGCGACATCATGAATTTGTGGTCTTTTTGCTTTTGATTTCTCAGGGACTTCGAGGCGGATGCATTGATGTTAGTGGGGAAGAGTTCTCAGGAATGAATGGCGTAGGGCCGAGAAATAAAACTTGGGGACAGGTATGGACGGAGTCAGGATGGGATTTGGTGGTGGAATCTCTCATGCAACTATAAAAAGTAACGTGAACGCCAATCCCGAAGCGTGTTTGTCTGGACTTTTCCATCCGCAGGTGGTACCTTCAATTCCCCCCATTTCATCGTGTTCGAGAAGCTATTGTTTTCTGATTTTTCCCCTTCGTTTCCTTCTCCTTCGACACGGTCTTGTTCACATCTTGCCTGTTGCAAGTCTTGTAATCATAATATTCTTCTTCTCTTCTTGACGACCGTCACATCCATTCGTTTGGTTTCTCAAGTCTTTCTTCCCCTTTATTGTATTTTATTTTATTTTTTTACTTTTTTTTTTTTTTT